AGATGTGTATAAGAGACTCCCTTTATACTACATAGATAGGAAAAATGTTGACGTTTACGCCACTATTTTTAGTTTTGCAATATTCCAATTAGTTTTGCTACTATAACAGTTTTACGCCGTGTCGGAGGACTGTCCCGAATTACCCCGCCAGTCCCGAGTTACCCCGGTTGACGGTACATATCTGGTCATGAAAATTTCAATATTCATTTGAAACCAAAGTAAAACCAAAATGAGCACTACACAAGTATTTACCTAATCTACACAATATAAAATGGAATGGTGTGCAATATTATGAAATGTAAATGCTATTGATATATTAGCTCAAAGAATCTACCAAATGTCAATAAATAACAAAACTGCAAAAAAATAAATTCTAATGACAAGACAACATGAAGACATAAAACTATTTTGCATACATTTGGATGTAACGTCTACACATTTGCCCACCAAATGACCCAAGAGTTTCATTATCAAGAACTCATTGAATACTTGCCCATCTCCAGGAATCTCTCTCATTGCTAGCCCCAGCATGGCAAGTTGCTGCTTCAGGGAGGCATACACGGGCACAGCATTGTTGGAGCCGCTTGAACCTTTACCAGATCCAGAACTGCTCCCACTGCTGCTACTTCCACTGCTCAACAAATTGTTCACAATATACGGCAATGATTATTTCCATTCAGTTGCTTGAATTTTGAACATAATGATGAACATACAATAAAAAAATATAACTCAGTACTCACAGCAGTGAGTGACAGAGAGCGCATTTTCTTGTTGACAAAAACTTGAGGTCACGGACAGACGGATGGACGGACAGACAGATAGACGGACATGGCGAGCACAATAGTGCATTTTTTCCATAAATGAGGGAATGCGCTAAAAAGTTGACACTTGTTTGTGTTCAGAAAATAAGTGGGGAATGATTTATATTTACTACCATTCTGGCTTGGATAAAGTCCAGAGAAAACCTTTCTTCAATGATTTTCTAGTTTATTTTTTTATCAAGTTAAATTATGTTCAATGATGGCATTGGCAGACCAAAAAGCTGGTTATGATGAGACAATTTCAAAATGAAATTTTGCTAACATACATTACTATTACAAAGTAAATAAATGTTTTGCAACACTTAAAACTGAGAATTTTAAATGACACAAGGTAAAGTACTTGAATACCACAAAGCAAATACATATTGTGAATACAACTTGCACTACATTAAATGCTTGCACGAGCATTATCATGCAGTGACAATGCTACAAAAGTGAATATAGCCAAATCCCTCATCATCAATAATTCTCCAGCTACCAACTTTCAACTGGATTTACCATGATGTTGAAACTACTTTCCAATTAATTTCAGATTTGATTTTTCAATTTATCCACAAAACCTGTACACACTGACCTATGTTTGGAGTTTCCAGTTGCTCCACTGCCAGCCTGTTGTTGAGGACCATGTTTTGTACTAGCAGACTCTTCTCTTTTACGGGCCATGATTATTGGGTTTTCTCTAAATAAACTGTAAAAGTTGTTGAAGGTCTGTAGCAAAAAAATTTTTTGAACAGTGTAATACACCTAGAAAAGAACATGATAAAATTACATGCAGGTAAGCAAAGAACTTATGTAATATAAATAGAGATAAATAAATCTCAGAATTAAGCATGAATCAGCAGCAGCCTTATCCCCATCACCCAAAGGAATGTTTTGAAGAATATTCAACTGTCGTTTTTCATGTCATCAACATTTGGAGAGGAGGATCACAGCAGGTTATTCAGCAGAAGGCAGGGAAGGACAGCAAGAAGAGGGGAGAGAGGGGGCAAGTGCTAGGAGAAGCCAAGTGGACAAAAGCCTGGACAAAGCAGTCCCCCATATGCAAAGTTCTGTGTGGAATGAAAGCAGGAGAAGAGGTGTTGTGTTGAGTGGAAGAGATCTCCTAACTCATGGCAGGTGGTCATCCTGGGATGCCAGAAATTGAACATGTATAAAATATACAGGGAGGCTTCATGTGCTAAGGTATAATTGAATGGGGCCACTTACATAAAGTTTGTAAGGCAGCTGCTTGTATTGATTGTTATGAGGTTCCCTTTTGTGACCCCCATTTTGTGCAAGGTAGGGCCTACACAATGGCTTAACAGGGGGCTTGTGGTTCAAGTGGTGGATGTCAGGTGGTGTGGGAAAGAATGAAGTAGGTGCTGGGTATATACCAATTTTATTTTCCAGGATTTTAGGGGTCAAGTGGGATACAAGAAGTAGGTACATACAACAACGAAAGTAAGCTCCCGGCATGCAACTGACAGAAACAAATGACAATCGCGGATGCGGCAGCACGAGGCATAACGTTCATATGCTCAATGCAAGAGAATGATTAATTATGATATTTTTGATAGAGGTTTGAAATATTATAGCTAAAAATTTTAAATTGAACAATTTTGTCATTATCGAAGACCTCATTGATTGCAGAACTTTAGTTTTCGCAAGTGTATTCAAGAAAAGTTTCTGAAATAGTAGGAACATTTCCATTATCATTCTGAAATAGAAGCGTCATTTCCGTTCTTATATATAAACAGGATTAATAAAATATACCTATCAAATCCATCCATTGTCACTCAATTTGTGATGTATGAATGACAGTTTTACTTTGATTCCTATGATGCTCATTTTTACCGGTTGAAGCTGTAGAATTAAATTAAATTAAAAAATTAATTAACATTTACTAAATCAAATTTTATTATTTAATACACTAGATGGTACAAGCTGTAGAATTAAATTCTACTAGAAAAATGTTGAATTAAAAATCTGATTATATTTTTTAAATTAAAAATGAATTTTTATTAAATTAATTTGTATTATTAATGCACTATATGGTACGTGCTCTATGTTTTATATAATGAAATAGTTTCCCATGTTAAACAACGAAAATTTTCTAAAAGACACAAAACGTTCGAAAATGCGGGATGGCAGACGAAATCATTTAGAATCTGAGGTGAAGTTAATTATATAGACAATATTGACAAAATAGGCAAAAAACATGAAAAAAATGTATGTCTGTACGCGTATTAATTGGTATTTATAATTTGAAACAAATTTCCATCATTTAAATGTCAGTATGGAATGTGGATCAAGTCTAATTATTGTGAAATCGAACTTCACAAGACCAAAAAAAGGTGTCTTGACACCGTCTTGTCTAATGTCAACAGTCAACACAATGTTGCCATACGCCGTGAAAGTTTAGCAGTTTATCCCATCATTTCGTGTGGATTCGAGAACTTTGTGGGTATCAATGAAATCGTGAGAACTTTCTGCGAAAGATGACGTAATTTTTATTTTATTTTGGAACATATTCATTACCAAAAATTTCTCGATACGCATACACGACTAGTGTTTGCATTTGGGAAGAGTCGCCGACTTTTTATCGGTTTTTGAACCACACGCAAGCGAGATAAAGGAAGCGCGGCTGTCCGGGTGTCCGCAGTTTCTGATCTGACGAGCTCAGTGTAATGAGTATCAATTGTCACTTTGGTGGGAGGTGTAAGGTGTAAGGTGGTAAGTTTCGATACATTTTATTATGTTAACATGATAATATATTACCTATACAGAATTCCATACTGCTTTTCTACAATATTATTTTATCTAAAAAAATAAACTTACAGATAAATCTAGAAGAATATAAATATTGCCAACATGAAATCTATAAGCTCCAAGTCTGCTGCTTTGTCTTCTTTTTCTGACAGAGATCAGGCTGGTGGGCACATTTGTGGCCACAAGTCTTAGGCTTAACCTCAACTATAAAAAAATGATCATTTCATTTAATGATCAATGAGTTGTTAAAAACACAAAATTAATATAAAAATGAATTTCATAACTCAATAATCATTATCAATAATGCACTACCATGAATACATATGCTGCTGATATGCATTAGTAATGTAGGACAGGTACCTACTAGTACCTACCTTTTTATAGGTTACATAATAGGTATTAGGTTACAGTGTGGAATTCTGTATAGGTAATATATTCTCATGTCAATATAAGAAAAGGTATCGAAATACCAACCCTACCACCGCGTTACACCACCTTCCACTGCAATGAAAATTGATGAACTGATCACATTTGAAATGGCTGTACTTCCGAAATCGCGCGTGGTTTGAAATCCAATCCCGTGTTGCCAACGACTAATCAAGTTAACTAGTCGTTTATCTGTAGGCTAGCGGACACATTTTTGCAATTAATACGTTCTAAAATAAAAAAAAACACATCCAGCTTCATAAAAAATTCTCACGATTGGACAACACCCACAAAGTTATCGATTTCACATAAAATTATGAGATAAACTTCGACTCTTTCACTGCATACATTCACATGATGTTTTCTGTTTACTTCTCACAAGACGGTGTCACACACTTATGTTTTGGTTGTGTCTAGTTTGATTTCACAATAAATAGACTTGATTCACATTCAATTATGAGATTTAATCATTTAAATGATTGAATTTTTTTTTTTAAATTATAAAAACCTATTTATACATTCCAGATTTGAATTTTTTCCCCTATTATGTTGAATTTATCTTGATCAATTCACTTCAAATTCTGAATGATTTTGTCTGCCATCCCGCGTTTTCGAACGTTTTGTGTCTTTTAGAAAATTTTCGTTGTTTAACATGGGAAACTATTTCATTATATAAAACATAGAGCACGTACCATATAGTTCATTAATAACACAATTTAATACAATAAAAATTAATTTTTAATTTAAAAAATATAATCAGATTTTTAATTCAACATTTTTCTAATAGAATTTAATTCTACAGCATGTACCATCTAGTGTATTAAATAATAAATTTTGATTCAGTAAAATTTAATTTTATTTAATTTCTCAATTTAATTTAATTCAATAAGCTTCAACCGGTAAAAATGAGCATCATAGGAATCAAAGTAAAACTGTTGTTCATACATCACATATTGAATGACATTGGATGAATTTGATAGGTATTTTATTAATCCTGTTTATATATAAGAACGGAAATGACGCTTCTATTTCAGAATGATAATGGAAATGTTTCTACTATTTCAGGAACTTTTCTTGAATACACTTCCAAAAACTAAAGTTCTGTAATCAATGGAGTCTACGAAATGACAAAATCATTCAATTTAAAATTTTTAGCTATAAGAGTAAGATCGTCATTTGTCAATATGAGGAGCATTCATTCATCATTCCTGAGGAGCTGTAAGAAAAAATTCGTTGTTTTTTTATGTAAAAGGATGTTTTTCAATTAAAAGAAATGTAATAATTGATTTTTGGAAATACGATGTTAAAATTAACGATCCGTATTAGAATTCATAGAATTCAATTGACGTTACGGCTTACGATTTCAGAATTATCTTGAAAAAGTTTGTTGTCGTTCGTTTGATCAGAAGTTTTTTATTTCTCAGTCTTCAGCCAACTATTTAGAAAAAAAGTAAGGTTTCCGGTACGTTGGATGGATTACGATGCAGCGAAGCTTGTCCGGAAATCAGTTGCGATGAGTTCCCGCAAAAAATGTAAACGTTTTTTTGATTGCGTAGTTTTGGTCGCATTAGAGCGGTCAGACTGCTTTATTACTTGTTCAGTTGACACTTGCTGTACAATTGGACTGTTTTTAGGGTAAAATTAGTTATTTGGGGTAACACATGCATGCAACCTTGTAATAAGTTCGTGGCTTGTAAATAGTTTGTCATTACTCAGCGTAAATGGCTTTTCATTAAAAATTACCCGGCGACGCATCTTTAAAATGGCCGGCGACGCTTTGGGCTTAAAAATCCATATATTGGCGACGCTGCATCCACCCTCTGCATAGTGGATTTTTTAGAATCAGTTCATTTTTAATTTCCTCATTTACCAAAGATTTAAACCAATTTCTTATGTATGATGGTGCTGGTATCCAGGATACTTTACTGGTCTACTTATAGGACTCAAAAATGAACTTGAGGGAGAGTCTAAAAAACTCTCTGCTTTGCCACTATGCATGATACTTTACTGGTCTACTTATAGGACTCAAAAATGAACTTGAGGGAGAGTCTAAAAAATTCTCTGCTTTGCCACTATGGCGTGCGTGTTTTAAGGCTTAAGCCTTTAAGAAGTCCATTTTTTGCCTCAAATAACAATGTTGGATAGAAGAAGTGGTCTTGGTGGATCGAAATAATATAATATATATGAACCTCCGAAATTAGAATTCCATCCTGATTAGGTATACCCTAAATAGGCCTACCCAGCTATCCCTATGAATGAAATTGAAATAGGCCTATTGACTCAAAATTTATAAAGATGTGTTTAAAATTTAAAAATTATTCAGTAGAGACAAACACAGGAAACAGGAAGGAAAAGTATTACTACAGCAATAAAAAGTGACGTCAGTCGTCAGCACTCACTCTCAGTCTCTCACATAGTGGCAAAGCAGAGAGTTTTTTAGACTCTCCCTCAACCTCAAGTTCATTTTTGAGTCCTATAAGTAGACCAGTAAAGTATCCTGGATACTAGCATCATCATACTTAAGAAATTGGTTTAAATCTTAGGTAAATGAGGAAATTAAAAATGAACTGATTCTAAAAAAGCTGTGGTTTGTATAGTGGCAAAGCAGAGAGTTTTTTAGACTCTCCCTCAAGTTCATTTTTGAGTCCTATAAGTAGACCAGTAAAGTATCCTGGATACCAGTATTATCATTCTTAAGAAATTGGTTTAGATCTTGAGTAAATAAGGAAATTAAAAATGAACTGATTCTAAAAAAGCTCTGGTTTGCCACTATGGACTCTCTCAGCCTGTGGACTAGCTACGTCATTACGGAAGTATGCGACACTTTATGTCTAGCTTATCTAACAATCCTCACGGAGTCACTCAATGCACGACTCGAGCACGAGTCGCTCCTGGATATGAATTACACCTGGCTATGCCGAATACAAATGAAATTTATAATTCATTTTAGACTTGAACCATCGACAACAATCGCAACGCAGATTACCTTATATTTTATAAGCTTTTACAAAAGCTCTAGTCAGGGGACAGGGAGTACTTGAGAGAAAGGATATTTCGGACTGATTTACTTCCACGACTACGGATAGGAAAAGCGTCAACACTAATAATTTTGCAGGCCTGTATTTTTCTAACAAGGATCAAATAAGATAGTTGTACAGATCATCCTCCAAATGAAATGTTATTTGAATCATATTTAGCTCGAAATGAATTCTCACTAAAATGAATTGATTATATTTCCATTGGCCCAAATTGCCAAATCAAATGCAGGATGATGTAACAAAATTAGGCTAAAACGGAAGCGGAAAGCAATGCGGAGATAAATATTCTTTTTTTTTTAAACCGCAGATTTTTTGATATGTCGAAGCAAAAATTTTTTGTAGTTCTTAACTCGAACTGCGTGTAACCAAACAGTTAAACGGAGGTTCGAGGGGTAGTAAGTCGGTTGCCAACGCTTTCCTCAGTGCATGAGTTGCGGCCGAGCCGATTCGGTCTTACGGTTCCTTTTAAAATGGCGACTACAGATGATAAACAGGCGCAAATTGATGGTAAATCTATGCAAATTGATCAGAAAGTGCAAGCTCTTGCCATTGACAGTGACAGGAAAATTGAGCACGAAGAGAAATTTTGTAGAAATATATCAGACTTTTGCGATGTGACTGGTGGTCATGATAGTGATGTTGATGATTTAAGAAATCCATCGGAAGCCCCAAGTGAAGAGATAGGCGAAAGAAACGGATGTCTTTTGGTACCGTCTTGCCCCTTCTCCGAAGTGTCTAACGGAGAGGCTACATCGTGGAAGGATGGAAGCGATTTTTGTCCAAGCGTTTCTCCAAGTCCAGGTCCCGAAACGGACCAATCTTTCACTTTTGGTGACATGGCAGCGCTTGGTGGGGCCACTGAAGAGCTTTCAGCAGCTTTACAAGCCGAAAAAGAATTTTTAGACTTCATGTGTTCTCTGCCGCAGGTCCAAGAGAACACTACCCATTTGAGGGAAGAGTTCCAACGCCCTGCACCTCGAGAAGAAGTTAGCAGCTTAGACCACCTGGGACATTTATGTCGAGTAGTTGAGCAACTCGCTCAACTTAAAGAGCAGAATGTCCGGCTACAGAAGCGTGTACAGTATCTGGAGGACCTCAGAATCTTGCATAAAATGCACCGCCAAGTTACGGAAACTCTGGCTCTAGAGCAAGATCTTGAAGAAAATGAAACTACAGAAACGACCAATCAAGTTCTGACTCCTACAGTAGATTGCATCAAGCAAGTTGGTGAGAATAATTTTTTAATTCGTCCTAATTGCAGGACGAATAAGATCGTCCTCAATTTTGTGTTATTTTAATAAATTCTGTGTCTCGAATCTTATTTAGTTGCGTTCACTTCATGGTCAATCATGACTTGATTGCAGAATAGCTTGGGTGCAATAGAGACCTCCTTTTTGATGTTTGGGAATGTTTCACGATCGCTCTAAAAAAATGCAACTGAATATTGAAGCAAGCTTCATTTATCACTAACAACAAACTTCTTTACTCAAATTGAATATGTCATCTATGAGGTTGTAACATTTTTTCATGCACCGTAATGAGGTTGCGCTATAGTTGAAAAGGGAAAAATATTTGTTTACAATTTACATATATTTCCTTCTGAAGGACCCTAGATTTACATCAGAACCCCTAACTCACCTCCGAGTCTGATAAGTTCAAGTTTTGTGGTAGTTTTTTCAGTCTTTCCCACATTGGCAAGGCGCCAGTATGCCTCTCACTGTGGCAGCCGCATTTATTGCAAACACTGTCGGGTCCGCGCTATTGCATGCCGACTGTGCGAACCCATTTATTACGCAACATTAAATACATACCGGGAAACATTTTCATAGAATTTGATTCGATTATCACGTTTAACACACGTTAAATTGAGCTTTTCTTTCAACTTTAATTCGTGCTAATCTTCAAGTGTTAGGTCAAATATATTCAACGCAGTGATCTTCATTGTTATTATCATATTTAATAATAATGAAAAATCACGGCTTGACCTTATTTTTAGTTTAAAAATTAATCAAACGGATCTCTCAGTACAATAACTAGTCAATGAAGATTTAAAACACGTATCAACGTCCAATAGTGAACGGAGCATTAATCAGGCGTAGATTATCTTGTGGCGGGCATAAGAGTAATTACTTCCTGGCGTGCACAGTCCCGGGGAGACCATGCAGTCTCTGCACCGAACAGTTTATTTACTCCGGCAACTTTTGACAAACGGCGGCGAGAAACTGACGCGCGACTCTTCAACTCAAAATAAAACTATAACATACCCAGTGAAAGTAAATAAATTTCTTCTCATTATTTGCCACCAATAAACAGATCAAGTCACAGTTAAAACGATTACGACAAATGAATTACAACAACTTCATGATTACAGTAGAATCGGATCGTTATAATGTAGTTCATTAGAACATTCAGGTCTACCGTGTCTCCAAACAACGGTACGAATGCAATAGGATACGAGCATAGTCAACATCTGTGCTGATAAGGCATTTATAAATTCAGCAACATTTTTTTAAGTGAATCTCAAACGACTAAAACCCGCACGAAAATGTTATGAAGAAATGAAGGCTGTATGGCAGAGGGTGTATCGCGCAGACGGTCGCTTTGAGGTTATTTTAGACCCTCGCGCGTGCTGAGGGCAAGAGAGGGCCCTTGCTTGCTTGGATGTTTGTTCTGCGTGTTTGTCGTGATGTTTGTGCGTGTTTGTCGAGATGTTTGTGCGTGTTTGTCGAGATGTTTGTGTGTGGTTGTCGAGACGCTTGTGCGTGTTTGTCGTGATGTTTGCGCGTGGTTATCGGGACGTTTGTACGTGGTTATCGGGATTATAAAGAATATGGCTCTTTGTTCGGGGGATTGTTGAGAATGAAAACGCGTTGTAGATTGTAACGGTTTCTGAAAACAAAGAATGAACAATTTGAACACAAATCGAGGTTATTCGAGATTATAAACAATATAGAGAAAATAGCCAAGGTTAACAAGTAATAAAAAGGATCATAACATAAGTAAATGATAACATACCAAATTGCTGAACAATCTCTGTCAAGTTTGGTTCAAAATGAATTCTGTCTGAGCTCATTAACTCTGGTCCTGCCTAAAAGGTCCCAACCTTATGTATACGAGAGAAGTATGCCTAGTAAAATTCTTTACAGGGATGTTTGTGCGTGGTTATCGAGACGCTTGTGCGTGGTTGTCGGGACGCTTGTGTGTGGTTATCGAGACGCTTGTGCGTGACTGTCGAGACGCTTGTGCGTGGTTATCGGGACGTTTTTGCATGTTTGTCGGGCGATTATCCGCGTGCGTCGGTACGTTTATGCGTGTTTGTTAAGACGATTGTACGAGTTTTTCGGGACGTTTGAGCGTGTTTGTCGGGACATTTTTATCGTTTGTTATGACTTTGTGCAAGATATTTTTACGATTTTGTCGGGACGTTTGTGTAAGCTGTTTTTGCGAGTTAGTTGGGACGTTGGTGCAAGTTTATCGGGACCCTATTTCACGATTTTGAGGGGACCTTCAACTTATGTGCTATTACAAAAGTAAGGACCGTTCAAACAAGGCAATGATTCGACATCTTGCTTGCCAAGTATGTTTTTATTCATGTGATGACAATATTAAGGGATTATATGCTCGGAGCCTCGTGATTGTCTCAACACCACGTGCAATCAAAGTCAAGTGACAGAGCATTAAATTCGTCTCGTTGATGCAATATTTTTAGCAATAGGCCCTTCAGTTTAGCTTGTCTTCATTTAAAGCTGCAAACTCTTCTTCATCTCTTTATTTGTATTTTAGTTGGGGACGTGGTTTGGGACTTTGCAGTCCTGGACCACGTTGTTAATCGAAAATAATTTGCTTATTTTTTCTTAATAGTAAAAAAAAGTCGATGGAAGCCTACTTGTATCATTCCATATATATTGCCTCTTACCCTGACCTTCCCGAAATTAACATCACACACAGAAAGCTCGCTAATTTCCTTCACATATTTCACTACAAAAATCGTTTAAATTACCATTTATGCCAACGTATGGGGCTATTTTTTGTGTTGAAATCATCGGTGTTGATTGTTTACATTTTTGTTCGCTTGCAGGTACTATATATAATTTTCTCGCTTCTTTTATGAATGGAAATAATTTTAATAAATTGCCTGTTCACTCTTTTTTGCGCTGAAATTGATGATATATTGCATGCACTTGCTCTTTATACACGCAAAGAGTGTAATTTAGCCATATTTACTTTCTGAACTGAAACGAAAAGAATGTTTTGCTTGCATTTATGTTGAACTGGCGGCGTTGGAAATGTTCCCTAAGATTTATTTGTAAGGTGACAACGAATAGCTGGATATTTTATTTACATTACGAGCAGTATAGCAGTCTTTTTCGTGAAGGTGCTGGCTATCGAAAGCTTCAGCGTAAAAGAATATATGCAGCTGATGGACTCAGCGACAACTTCATCTGTTTTCAGCTCGTTTTCTGCCGCAGTTGTTGCATGTGATTGATATTTTCTAAATTAAGTAATTTATGGATGGGGGCTAAATCAAAAGAATTCTCTTAAAAATTTTAGAATACAATTTTTATATTCACCTGTACACGCAGTAATAGAGAGAAATTTTAACGGCTCACTCTTCACTTTTAACGAATACTATTTAATACACTATTTAATAGAAATTTTAACGGCTCACTCTTCTTCTATTTTATCGGCTCATCTCTTCACAGTTGTTCTTATAATAATATATTGCCATGAAACTGCAAGCCAAGTATTTGAATAGGAAAATATATGTAAACATTAAATGGGGACGTTATGAAAACATTAATTAGGGACGTGGTTTATTTATTTATTTTACGGCATCAGACAATTGAATATATTATATTTATTTTATGGCACCAAAACATATAAAACATGATATTTATTTTATGGCACCAGACAATTTTATATATTATATTTATTTTATGGCACCAAAACATATAAAAACAAGATATTTATTTTATGGCACCAGACAATTTTATATATTATTTTTATTTTATGGCACCAGAGAGTTGAATATCTAGCAGCGTCATAGCGTTACAGCTGTAAGGGCAGCAGCGATAAGAGTATCTTACAGGCAGCTGCCGCTGCTGCCTCGCGCTGCTCTATTTTCGTATGGGCTGCCGCACGCGGCGCCTGACACGCTGTTGTAGGCCTCTACGCGGGTTGTTTTTTAATCAGTCAAATGTTACTGGTAAGCTGAATTATATGTTGAAATTCCTGTGTTATGTTATCATTTTTATGGCATTTATATTGTTCACGTCCCTGAATTAATCATGCAAATCTTCTCCCGTTACTTAAGAATAATCAAATATAAATTTATATCGTACAAAGTCAGCTTGTTCAATCATCTAGAACTTTCTGGGATAGTTCTTTATGCCTCAAAATGCAGCCAAGTGGCGTGCCATTCCTTCGAGCACAGCCACGTGGCATGCCATTCCATCGAGCACAGCCACGCGGCGTGCCATTCCTTCAAGCACAGCCACGTGGCGTGCCATTCCATCGAGTACAGCCACGTGGCGTGTCATTCCTTCGAGTACAGCCACGCGGCGTGCCATTCCTTCGAGCACAGCCACGTGGCGTGCCATTCCTTCGAGTACAGCCACGCGGCGTGCCATTCCTTCAAGCACAGCCACGTGGCGTGTCATTCCTTCGAGTACAGCCACGCGGCGTGTCATTCCTTCGAGCACAGCCACGTGGCGTGTCATTCCTTCGAGCACAGCCACGTGGCGTGTCATTCCTTCGAGCACAGCCACGTGGCGTGTCATTCCTTCGAGCACAGCCACGTGGCATGCCATTCCTTCGATCACAGCCACGTGGCGTATCATTCCTTCAAGCACAGCCACGCGGCGTGTCATTCCTTCGAGCACAGCCACGAGGCGTATCATTCCTTCTCGCACGCACACATTTTTTTTCCTGTCAAGCCATCACCAGCATCAGTTTCTACGGCGGCAAATATTTATTAACCGGTTTAATGTGTGACCGCTCTGCTATAAAAATCGTTTAATGAACTTCGGTTTATCAAGAAGTGAAGTTAATTAGTCATTAATTTAAAATTTCATGGGCTCATAACCTTATGTGATTTGATTTGTTTTGAACTCCAAACTGATCGAAATGGCGAATTGATCTGCACGATGATATTTTTTGCTGAATTTTCGGAACGATGAGCAGAAGATAATTTATTCTACGCAGCCAATGACGATAAATTCCCTGTTCAAATCTACTTCAAAGTGACTGTGGAATTTAATCTGCTGTTATACTATGGCACTATTGAATAAGAAATCAAATGTATTTTTTTATCACGGCGCAATTTCTGTCATTAACAGCTTACTGGAATAACTTAGTCCCAACACCACGCAGGCAATGCCGTGGAGGCCTCAGACTCCCAGCCCTTGGGGTTTATATCTTCCCCAACCCCACACACCAATCCCCACTTCCGCCCCTCGTTGCCTGCTCGGGCGGCGCCCCAGCACATCCCCGACGAGCGGGGAGGCCGGAGACGAGGAACAGTTGGGGACACGAGCGCTGCCGTCGTCACGGAGGCGCACAAGGAAAAGAAAGGACATCGCTCAGCGTGGGGGAAAGTGAGTACGATACATCATAGCAAACTGGACATCATATACATCATAGCAAACTGGACATCATATGCATCATAGAATAGAATAGAATAGAACAGAATAGAAGTGTCGGCACTGACAAAATAGGCCCATGGCCTGTTGTCGATTCTTGAACTTTTCGTGACTTGATTCGCAATGGATCTGGCCTTTGGAACCCGATCTTTCCATAGTGACATATACATCATAGCAAACTGGACATCATATACATCATAGCAAACTGGACATCATATACTTCATAGCAAACTGGACATCATATACATCATGGTAAACTGTACATCATTTACTTCATAGCAAACTGGACATCATATACGTCATAGCAAACTGGACATTATAAACACAATGGTGAACTGCATGCCTTAAATATATTTGATCAAGTCAATAGTTTTGAAGTTGGACCTGTCCGATTTTTTTTACCTATTTAAGTAGCTTATAATTCACTGCTCAGGTCAAGCACATCATCATCAACACTCGCAAAGATACAAAAAAGTCGACCTCGTCCCGCTTGGGCCACAGCAAAAGCGCAGCCCTCGTCACAACCGTCCCCACCTCGAGCTACGTCCCCTTCAGAGGGGAAGACCAACCCCCCACCAGGCGCCTTGAGGATCCTCGTTTTGAAGGCCATGATGTCTTCCCCAGAACAGGCACCTGCGAGGGGAGCTTCATGTCTTCTGATACTGAGGTGAAGAAGGTTCTAATAAACAAGTTATAGTGAAGGATTTACTATATATTTCTTTTTCAAACTAGCAAAGTATAATAGTGTCGACGTTGCGATCGAAGATGCAAAATCTGGCCGGTCGACGATGCAGTATTTCTGTTCCCGACCTTAAATCTGAGAGAAACAAACAAACGATGAACATGGAATGGAGTCCATGTCCATGGAATGGAATCCATGTATTCATGGAATCTATCCCATTCTTAGAATATTCTTTCGTAAATATTTCTCGTAAATAGCGCTAAAAATGACAACTATATTTGAATTCTGTATCAAGCCAATATTAAATGAGGCATAAATACAAATATGAGTCTAAAAGTGTGAAATTAAAAAAGTTCTCGCCCCGTTTTAAAGGCATTTTTCTGTTGTAAAATGTTTCCCGTGTTGGCAGACCTAATGATGTCAGCTATTGACATCTGAAAGAATGTTTGAAATTATTGTAACCACAATTTATGAAATAAAATGAGAAAAATGTTCTAATTACCGACTTATATTTCGAGCAGGATTGTGAATACGACCCAGACGACGTTATTGACCCAGACGGGGATTTAGGCGGCATTTGGATGGGTCCAAAGGAGCCCGTAACGAGAAAAACAGATTTGCGTGAACTGTTACCACCATCGAGTGTCCCAAACGTTGCAGCGGGCACCCCACCTTGCGAAATCTCGACAAAAACACCTCTCTTCCTACCTTCTTTTTCCCCATCCACAACATCATCCTTATCTCCAAGCACGCCACCCTCGTCTTCCGTTACTTCTCACGGAATGGCATCATCCACAACTTCTTCGCCCGCTGGAGCATCGCCACCCCAGCTTCCCCAATCGCCTGGAATTACCGAACCCACTGAACCTCATCAGTTTGGCGCGTTAGAAGTTCCCGCAGTGCGATCACCTGAAGGAGTGTTATCGAAAGAAGAAAGGTTCAGGCCACAACTCACAATCACTGTTCCTTCTAATGAGGATCTTCGCAGCGTTAAGGTAAGCGCTATGAGATAAGAATAGATACACACGGTGAAATGATAACAATTGTTTCTATCATTGCATTCATGATGTCCATTGCCAACTATATGAGGCAAAATATGAAGAAAGTGAATAGCAATGGTTCATCAGCCGACATTTCAGCAATGAGATAAAGTCCCATCACTAATTTTATTTAAAAATCTCGTGACACTTACCCTAGCTCAGAAACAAAGAAATGTTTAGTCCTCTCTCTCAGGAGTAATACTTCACCTTATTGTCATCTAACATTGATCGTCGCTCATATACTCATCATCTGATTATGGATCTTTGTTTCAATATCCTTTGACGCAAAAATCTTTGTTCAAACATCCTTCTTTAATTAACGCAAAAATCTTTGTCCCAACATCTTTCTTTTACGTAAAATCTTTGTCTCAACATCCTCCTTTAACGCAAAGTCTTTGCCCCAACACCCTCCTTTATCGCAAAGTCTTTGTCACGAAATCTTCATTTAACGCAAAAAATCTTAGTCCCATCATCCTCATTTAACGCAAAAAAACATTTGTCTCAAAATCCTCCTTTAACGCAACAATATTTGTCCCAACATCCTCCTTCAACGCAAAAATCTTAGTCCCATCATCCTCATTTAACGCAAAAGTATTTGGCCCAACATCCTTCTTTAACGCAAAAATCTTTATCCCAACATCCTCCGTTAACGCAAAAATCTTTGTCCTAACATTCTCCTTTAACGCAATAACCTTTGTCCCAGCATCCTTCTTTACCGTAAAAATCTTTGTTCGAACATTCTCTTTTACCGCAAAAATATTAATTCAAACATCCTCCTATACCGCAAAAATCTTTGTCCCAACATCCTCGTTCAACGCAAAAATCTTTATCCCAACATCCTCGTTCAACGCAAAAATCTTTGTCCTAACATTCTCCTTTAACGCAAAAATCTGTGTCTCAGCATCCTCGTTCAACGCAAAAATCTTTATTTAAACATCATTCTTCAATCTCTTATAATGACCCAGTCTTTCACCTCAGCAGACATCTAACTGGGACAAAGTGAAGCAGGCGTTCCTAGCTCCTGCAGCAGCAGGACTGACGAGGACGGTTTCTGTGGAGTGCGCAGAAGGAGGATTCTCTCCCAGTAAGAAAGTAGGAGCAGGGAACCGAGCAGACAAATGTCCCAGAGCAGATGGAGGGACATCCTTAGAAGTGGGGTCCTCTGGAGGCTCCTTACCTCCTACGCCAAACACTCGCGGATCCTTCACCTTTGACGGTGAGGAGAACAGCAGTAATTAATATGGCCTACTTGCCTGCATAACAAACAGTATTTAAGCAACCTTTGAGACAAATAACTGCATCATTAAGGGATCCTTTGACATTAATTATCGCAACAAAGTTCCTAATGTTATAGAGTACTAGTGTTTTATCTATGCCTGACAGTGAACTATATAACAACAAACCGTACTAATGTACTACTATTTAATATGCATGGCAGTGAGCGACCATACTAAAACATATTTTTTACTGTAATTCCCACTAAACTAATAATAATGTAGTTATTGTAGTAGCACCGATGTATTACCTATGCATTACTGTGAGCTACAAGAACAAGCCACACTATAACATTCTTCGAATAATAATATTAATAATAATAATAATAATAATAATAATAACAATAATAATAATATTAATAATAATGATATAGCAGTACTAATGTACTTTACATTACAGTGAGCGACCAGTCAGGAGCCAGCGTGTCGCCTGACCTGGACAGCCTCCGTCCCGCCTGCGGACGTTCGTCTGAACTAGACACATCACACTCGCCTGGTGGGTTGATATTTTATATATTATACATAATATAATAAAGTATATAATGACATGACAATATATTGACTAATAATACTATATATTGTTATTTTATTATTTTACCAAAGATACATGTCATTGGTCACTCCCGACGTCATTATTTGTTGAGAACTTGTTTGCAGCCAATGATATTTATCTATGAAATGTGACTGTTTTCATTTATATTAATGATTAATAGGAAATTTTTTTAACCTAATAAATGTTTTAATGTATTTTACTTGATATTTAGGTAACAATGTTTTAAGGTTTATGTTTTTAAATCCAGATAAATACAATATCCATTATGAGTCATAATATTGCAGCAACTAATCTTAACTTCAAATTATTTAGAAGTTCATAAATCAACAAATCAAATGAATCCAGCAATTTGAATGACGTATTTGGCGATTTAATAGACCACATTGATGATACCCGACAATTAATGACATAAAGCAGCGAAATTCAATATATTAAAATTTTTTACTATAAACCAATTTACGGCCGATAGTTCAGATCTTACAGTCAACTTGCGATCGGAACGAACAAAATAAAAGTTAGTGGCACATACTCAGTGGCAATTTCTTGCAGCCTCTAACTTCAAGTAACCGTTCAACTTTCGTTTTATTTTCAAACAAATCAAAATAAGTATGTCTGTGTTATTCAGATATTTTGATAAGCCAAATTTATTAAAGTTCCGCCTGCATTTCTATTTATTATATTAATGATGTTCTCACGTGCATTTCTATTGCTATGTTTCACGTGCTTTCATCAGCGAACACTATAGCTAAATTACGATACTTAATCGCAGCACTAAAACATGGTTACGAGATGCAAATTACGAGACTACGACTTGAGTTACATATTCTTGAATGACAGTTTGAAAAAACGAATACATGACAAAGAATATAAATAAATCTAAACATTTTTTCCTAATTCTGCTATCGATTCAAAACCCTCAAGGGAATACTATTCGAATATTCCGACACACAAAAATCTACAGTAAACAACTTTTGCTGCCAACAATAGAGCCAAAAGAATGCACATGATTCCTTACTTTTAATTTAGACGCGAATGTATTTTACTCACTGACAGCATAAGACAAATCTCGCTGATTTAATGAGAGTCACGTTCGTCTGAACTCCACAAGACTAATGGAAATATCTACGTCAATGTATCCTGGGGCCATAATATTATCAAAAATAGTTAAGATTTCGTAACGCCGTTCGCCTATTACTGGCGGCTTTTCAAACTCAACCATGCCAATCACCGACAAGCAAGTACGACTACGTGTACATAGGCCGACATGTGTACATAGGCTATACATGGGTACATAGGCCGACATGTGTACATAGGCTATACATGGGTACATAGGTGTGTACATAGGCCGACATGTGTACGTAGGCCACAAAGAGTAAGTAGGCCGCTACGTGTACCTAGGCCACTAAGTGTACTTTAAAGAGTTTTTATAGTAAGGCCCCTGATCCTTTATATTTTCAACTCGTAATTCACCGCCTTCGTCAGGGTCTCCCGGGGGCGCAGGACGAGGCTTTTCTTCCCCAGTTGGTGATGGAGGCTCATGGGGGTCTGTCTTAGTACCTGGGGCGGCACAGACAATCATCTCCGCAGGTGACCATTTAGTAAAACGATGCTATTGTAATACATAATTGTTCGTTAATTTTACATACGGATTAAACAGCAAGTTCATACTCGGGATCGACCTACCGTCATATTTCAACTGCATTGCCACACCTCATGGCTTAAGCTACCAGACATCCACACTTTTAGGCTTAGACTACGTCATCACATGTGTACATTTTTACGTCATGTAAAGCTTCACCGCAATCAATGCAGGCGGTGCGGTTGGCCGTAACCTAGCAGACCTGCAGAAGGCGCTGTCGGGGGAGTTCAGCAAGAAGCTGCTGGAATGGGAGCGTTTGAAGGGGCAGCAATGGCTGTATGGAGCTCCTGCAGCAGGTGTAGGTCCAACAAAGGGCACGAGTGGGGCTACCAATTTTCAGGAGACCGTGTGGGGAGGAGGACAACCCGCTTTGGATGGAAATCTACCACATGAATTCCGTAAAAAGCTCCAAGAGTGGCAGAAAATCAAGGAAAAGGAGAAGGTTTGTTGATTTTTAGTTTCATTGATCGAATTCTTGAGGACATTATCGAAGATCTTGAGACATTCTAAAAGATATGTTTGCCTAATTTTCAAAAGTATTTGAGCAAATGAAACTTATCTGTTCTTACACTTATGAGACCTCCTTAATATATACGGAGATGCCGTTATCTGATTGGTAAAAAATTGTTACCATAACAAGTTTATTAGCTTTCAGGATTTCTTAAGCATCACAAAAATTGTATTTCACTCAACATTTCAGCTGCACGGCGGGTGTATCGGGATGATACCGCCCACTTCTCCAGGTCATTCCCCCACCACGCAGCACACTCCCCCCGCGGACGACGTTAAGACCCGACGTCACGAAGAAGGGAGTCTGCCCCCAGAGTTCAGGAAGCGCCTGACCGAGTGGGAGATCGGCAAGGTCCTGGCGGGCAAAAGCCGTCAGAACGTCGAGGAGCTTCAGAAGAATCTGGGGGAGGAGTTTAATAGGAAGCTGGCGCAGTGGGAGAAGATGAAGGCCGGAGGATTAGTTGGTGAGTAAAGTGCATGAAATTCCGTGCTTTGCTATTTAGAATAGAATGGAAGTTTCGGCGTTGAAGATATAGGCCCATGGCCTGTTGCCGATTCTTGAACTTTTCGTGACTTGATTTACAAGGGATCCGGCCTTTGGAACCTGTTCTTTCCATAGCCGACGATTGATTGAGATAGCTGCTGGACTTATTGCCTGGTCTGTAATTTGCTAGGCATTTTAAGACTGAACTTGATAAGACTTGATGCACAGACTTGATAAGACTTGATGCACATAAGACTTTAAGACTTGATGCACAGCATGGAATGGTGCCGTGCACCTTCATGGTTGAAATTTATTGGAAGGAGAAATAGAAATTATCTGGTGTAAGTTTCAAACTACATAGCATTTTATGGTTCACATGAACCCAGGAGAGCATTTTGCCTCATGAGAGTAGAACAATTTAGTAAACTTTTTATTCTTTTCCCGGCTGCGAATAATGGATTTTTTTCTGCCATCCAGATCCCCCTGCAGCCTCAGGGGACGCAGTTGCTTCTGCCGGGGGCTTGGAAAGAAAAAATTCTGCTCATAAAGTCAAGAAAAATAAAAGCAAACCTGATAAAACACCCACTGTAAGTCATCTAAATATTGACAGGAGCGTTGAATAAAAAATATCATCATTAAGAATTCAAATATTTTTTCCAAAGTGTTTCTTTTCACGTCAAACGACAATTTTTCTTTGTACGCTTTTTTTTCGTGGAATTATCTAAATATAAGAAATTATCTAAATAATCTGGAAATCATCTATATATAAAAATAGTATGAAACTTTTACTATACATCTAAATATACAGTAGGAGAGCGGTTTGAGATTAAAAAAATTTTCGGAAATGGAAAAACTTTTTCTATAACGTAAGTTCTTTTTAGCCTCATATTAAAGGACATTTTTCATCACAACATCCGTCATTATTCCCTATTGTTGTTTTACTGTAACTTTCATCAAATTTGCTTCTATTATTTGCATTTAAAGAATGTTTGTATCCGAAATTTGTCCTTATAATAAATTTGTCTCCTAAAAGTTTCCTAAATCATTGTACTATTAATGTTAAATTCAACTTTTCAGGGGTTTTTATCAGTTAAAAATAATCGTTTGATGAATTGGTTGTCTATTGATTTTTAATTGATTCTTAGAATAAATCTGAAGCGTCGAAGAATCGAGACAAAGAAGTGCAGTGGCTGGAGCGTGAGCTGAGCAAAATTGAGCGTGAGAAGCAGCGATTAGAGCGAGAAAAATCTAAATACATGGAGCGAGAAGCTCGGTGAGTTGTGACACTGAAAAATTAAAATTTTAAAGTTTTTTGATTTGCAATTAATTTAAGAATATAGCAGTTGGGCAGGATAATGAAGAAAGAAGTCTTTAACGAAGGAATTATCACATGAGTAATTTTATGCACTTAATTATGAAAATATTTGTTTAAACTTTGTTAAAAATTTGTTTAATTGTTTATTAAAAAACGAAATATCTACATCTAACAACTTCTCTTCTTTCAACGAGGAGTAAGCGTAAACTCTGAACACTAGAGCAGGCTAAAGCAGCAATTCCTTTTATTACCTCTTTAAACGATTTTTATGTTGTTTATTAAAATTTCATTTACTAAAGTAAAAGCCAGAGAGCATGCTAATGAGGCAATCTTTTTTATGACCACTTGGAATGATTTTCACCCTAATTAGTAAAATATGTCATAGTAGTAGTAAAAATAAGATGTATAAGTAAAAATGGGTATAAGTAAGTAAAGTAAAGTAATAAGTGTATAAGTAAAAAAAGTGTAAAAATAAGACTATCTCATTCACCAGACTGGAGAGCATGTGGCAGGCGTACCGTCAGGGGCAGGCGCAGAAGAAGGAGGTCTTCATCAAGACATCAACAGGGGAGTTCCGCTTCGAGGGCATCAACACGACGTTCACGAAGCGCCTCTACGAGTGGGAGGAACGGCGGGGCATTCGTCCCGAGTCCTCGACCATAGCGCTGCTGGCTCCTCAACCTGCTGGGAACGTGGCTGTTCAGGTGCGTGTACAATCAGAGAAATGAACGAGACTTTGTCCTTAACCCTGTACCGCCTGACATGGGAATTCGGAGCAATATTGTCACAAGCCTACTTCCCAAAAGGATATGTTCTAGTGAGCGCAAAATGACTTGCACTGATGGTTGCCGCCACGTACAATAACTTTAAAATGTTGCGTACAAACGTCCTCATGTTGCTATACATTCAATAGTTTACGTATAATTTAGGTGTAAAGTTATGTTACCGGAGAGTGACATACGGCGGCAGAGGGTTAAACGATGTACTTCTTGCACTTATGTGGGTCATCCTGAACTCGTTTTGCTCGCAAAAGTGTAAGTGCTACGGGCAGAAAGTGTCACAATTTTTAAATATACCCCATTTATTTTTACGAGAGCATGAGAGTCCATTGAACTGTCTTTCAACTAAAGTAAGTTCTTGTTTTTTAACTAAGAATATCCTGAATATGCCTTAACGGGAAATTGGATTACCCGAGTATCCGAATACATTTAGGACTATAAAGCTTTAAGCATCCGGCCAGAGTCTTAATGAATGTCTGAAAATAATTTTGTGATTTACAATATATTTCATCACTAACCATTGCCTCCCTTGAAAATTCTAGCAGTTTACTTAATTCATCTATATTATTTCAAAATTTAATAATTTGTAATTCTTGCATTTTTCCAACAGACACAAGAAAGATTCACCAGCAGCAGCCCTATCCCGCCTTCTGGCAACAGCCCTCCAAGAGCTCCTGAAGTGCCTCGGATGCTGCGGTAAAACTGCTGATTTAATAGACGAAATGTTCACAATTAAGCCCTTAATATGCTTCCCCTTTCAGATATTAGATATTTTAAATTATTTCGTACGACACCAGCATTGTCTTAATTAACGTTCACAACTATATTCACTATTCCCCAGTCTGGTGTCATATACATTGCACGTTGTTTCGTACTACACCAGCATTGTCTTATTTTTAGAATCGAAAACATAAAAAAATTGCTTCACGTGTCAAGGATCAGGCATAATATCTTTTTTGTTCACCAGAGCAGTTTGAATTACTTTCCAACTGTCTGCATTCAATCAATTCCTATGCATGACAAACAATCAACAACTCGAACAATAATTTCAACGCAGACGAAATAATTTCAACGCCCTTGATAATTGGGACTACTATTTTGCTTAAACTTGCAAAACCGTTTTTTTACATAATAAAAATCCTCCCTATTTTTTGTTTATATTTTACATACGGCAGTTCCACCAATCGTTGATAATTTTACGCTCGTTACGACCTGAATTTCTGATATTTCTGCTACTAATTTTACCATGTAAACATCTGCATATATTTTCCCATTGCTCAAATATACATCTGTTTGGTGCAACGCACCAATACCTACACACCTTGTGTGTTACACGGTTATTGTACATTCAGCGAGTAATACGTCAAATGATTGAGACTGTCCTGACGCGAAGTAGCAAAATAGGAGTAAAAAAATATCCAAGTTTAAGGTAAAAATTGAAAATAAACAAATAAATAGGAAATAGAATAAACCTCGGCACAAAAATTTGTTACAGCTGCAAGTCGGAATCGTCAATAGCCGAGCTCGCAGCGAACAGCGGCGTTGGTTTACCGACGTCTCCTGCGCTGCCGTCAGCAGATGATGCGTCCATTAAACTCGAAGACGCAACCAATATCAGTAAGTCCTCATGACGTTCCTTGTTATTTTATACGTCAGCTAAGACATTAGCTCCGTTATTTGCTTACAAAACTGGGATATTCAAAACCCAGTGTCGTTGGAAGCGACACGCACGGGGCCGATGACGCTTGTCACACTGTCCAAATAGTGATTGTCACGATGACGAGGCACACTGTCAAAATAGTGATTGTCACGATGACGATTGTCACACTGTCCAAATGGTGATTGTCACGATGACGGGTCACAATGTCCAAATAGTGATTGTCACGATGACGGGTCACACTGTCCAAATAGTGATTGTCACGATGACGGGTCACACTGTCCAAATAGTGATTATCACGATGACGGGTCACACTGTTCAAATAGTGACACACTTCTCACCCACAGCACGATCAGAAAACTGACGTATAGCTCTGGTTTGTCATTTAGCCGAACTAAACTGGTTCGGGATTGCCCACATTAGGCCGAAACCTATAACGCTACTTGGACAGGACACCCACTAAGTCACGTTCATTTTTCTGAGTGTAAACAGACTGACAGCGTTGATCGTAAAATCTTTTACATTTAGTAGCCTGGTTATAGCGAGTCATCGGCTCGTTGTCATTCAGGCTGCCGAGCAACAATGACTGCCGGCGTGAAATCGGGCTATTGATTTGGTTGATATTAGGTCGAGTCAACTCAGACTGCTCAGATATGAATGCCTATGATATACACTCGGCCCAATAACCTAAGGTATTGAGTCACTCGGCTCAATAACTTAGTATATATATGTACGAGTATATCAATAACTATGATATTCACTCGGCTTGATTGCTGAGCTCGCTTCATGCGTGATTGTTGAAAAGAAAAAGAAATTTACGAACAATATTGTTCTCATTAGACATTATATTTCATAATTATAACGAGTCAACTAATCGCCAGTAGTATTACAAGTTTTCGACCTCTCAACTAAAATAGCATAGCATAGTGATGTCGGCGCTAAATAGAGTAGGCCTGATGTGGCCTCTTGCCGAATCTTGAACTTTACGTCACTTGTTCATAGAAAAGTGTACATGAAAGTTCCCAAGCAAAAATTCTACTGCAAACTTAATTGAATATGAAAAGAACAATGTTATATATAAACTACTAGAGAAAGATTTTTTAATCAATTTTATTACTATTCCTGCGATTCCTAGGAAATTATTTTTAAGAAATACTGCGCGAGTTCAGCGTGAGTGCGAAGTATATGCATTGCTGGAGCTGGTGATTTTAGTCACACGAGAATTTGTCGGAATTCAATTGTTGCCAAGCAAGTATGGTGAAGAATATATCTTAGATTGTGACGTTCCGTATATGTCATGTAGATCACTCCGAACCTGATGCAACCTTAAAATGCTATGCTGAACATCTGAAATTTGTCAATCAACAATCCGAATTCTGATAAGAATAATAAAATGTCAAATTATGAACATACATTATACGTTAAAACCAATAACATTAATAAAAATTAGAGAAAGAAAATCATAAACAGAATTCTATGACGATTGTTATCTAGATATTATAATTGACCGAAAAGATATAACCAGGTGTTAAGAGGCATATTCAAATATATATGTCAGTGAACGAATGAAAACGCACCTGATTTGAACGTGCATTTACCGTCTATAAACAATATACTTATACGCACCAAGTAAGCCTTTCAATTTTCCTAACCCCAGCAGATCACAGCAAAGCATCATCCGAACCAATCCTATCAGCGGAAGATGCAGACCCCGTCAAGTTTCAGACCTCAATCCTTCCCTCTTTGCTGTCCCCGGTGTCGGCGAAAGGGAGCTCCATTTTACCGCCGTTCGAACGCACTGACGACGAAGGCAACGGCGAAAAAATCCTCCAGCAGCTCAGTGAGGCTAAGCAGGTCACTGGTGAGGGTTTACTGGACAAGATTTTCCTATCCCCAAATGTCATTCATAAGAATTTTCCAGCTAATTGGGATACAGAAGCTGCCGCCAAAACTGAGAGCTTGTTATCCAGTCACTTAGTGAGTGCGGGCGGCTTTTTGATGAGTCCAGAACTAAGCTCCAAGCCAACGACGAAAACTCGTAGAAGAAGTTCTGTAAGTCGACAGTCCAGCGCCAGAAGTTTGGCTTCTTTGAAGGCCACGTACGCTCCGAAGGAAATAACACGACTCATCGACTCATCAGACAGGCGAGTTTTTTAGTTTACGTCGATGTAATGGGATATTTTTCCAAGCTCAGTGAAAGGAAAATCAATAGAATGAAGAATATATAGCACTTTGCACTGTTGATCACTTAAATCTAAATTAGTTCGGTGATGTTTTTAACATTAGATTTTAATTATTTTATCATATGTAACTAATTTTTACTGCATCACCTAACAGTGAGTTAGAAGGCCAGGAGCTCTTGGACCCAGAAGTTGGCGGCGCACTTCGTCCTCCGCGTCTCGCGAGAGCTGCTGATTCGCTCAAAAGTGACTCCTCCTACCATGATCTGCTGCAGGAGAATATGCATCTCCTCGAGCAGCTGAGAACCCAGGAGGTAGTGTGTCGAGCTCTGCAGACGCAGATGGGTGACATCGACTGCAATTTGGACAGCGTCACTGACCAGCACATCAAGACATTAGGTGAGACTATTAACAACTCTCAAATTTTTTTTATTATTTTTTTTTAAATCGCTTTAATTATGTTACAAAAAAGTTCTGTAAAATTCTTATATCATTACATCAATTCATGACCTAATTTTTAAAGTCACTTTTACATTTACTTCATTGCAAGAAGTCGCAAGCAACAGCGATGTGCATGTAATTCTTAACTTGTCCCAAAAATCTCAGCAGTAACAGTCTAATGAGTTAGTACATTTTTTCGACATTTATTGCTAAATCACTTCCTCATGAAATATGGATGATATTGAAGAAGGTTTCTACTGTGTCGTTTTAGAGAAGCTGCACGAGCAAGTGACCATCATGAAAGACTCCGTTGCAGCGACAGAGTCTGCCACCGAAGACCTGGCAGATTCCGAGTCGTTGGAGCTCTCTCAGTTCCTTAAACTTCCCGAGGAGAGTCGGCAGCAAACGACAGACAGAATGTCTGAAGAATTGATAGTAGGGGCAATTTTCAGCAACGATAAAGAACTGGGCGACGTTGAAGGAGCTGCTGGGCTCGATGAGAGTGTTATCGAGATTTATGATTTCGCGGACCCAGAAACATCCAAGGAAGATTATTGCGTGAAAAGAGACGAGAATTTGTTACATCCGGATCGAGATTATGAAAACCAGTTACTTATTCAAGAGTTACGCCAGAGAATTGTTGAATTAGAAATGAGGGGAGAAAGTCTTCTGAAAGATAAGGAAAAACTTGAGGCAAGTCCAAACAACAAGTTGATTTTCTGTGAAAAAAATCCATTCCATGAATGCTGTCATCATTTGAAACATTTTTATGCTAATTATTATTCTCTGTTAACCGTTATCGATTACATAGTTTCTTTCATACCTTACTAATTTTTCGACGATTTCCGCCTCAGGCGTCATTCCAGTTACACAAAGAACGCGAAGCAAAATTGGCGCAGTCCCTGCTGCTGCGAATGCGCGACCTCCACGTCGCAGAAGCTGATTTGCAGTCATCAGCTTCTGCTCCTGAGCTGCCGCTTGATCTAAGTTCCAGGCTTCTCTTGTGCGAGAAAGAATGTTGTTCTGTTCCAGGAAGCAGTGAATGCCGAGCCAGGTCAGTGGTTTACGGCTATCTCTTCGGCTCGTGTAACTTCGGTGAATTAATTCTGGTCAACTATTATGTAATTCAACCAATAAGTCTATTTATAGCCGACTTATATTAGTTTGAAAATGTACTACTTTTCAACTATGATCGTTTTTATAAGAGATTTGTGTCTAGGATTTTATTGAAATAGCAATTAAAAACTACTATATTCACAACCCCATCTAAGTAAGTAAGTATTCAGTTTCGCCACCGACTAACATATTTTCTTATAGCTACTCCTCGTTGAGAGAATCGAAACGCAACCTGCTACCCGAAAGTTCTTTTCTTCAAACTCAAAGTTTCGACGACTCCTCAGCTGCAATAAAAAGGAAGAACAGATCCTTCAAACGCCAACGAAGAGTTTGCGAAGAAGAACCCAATGGTCAGCCGACCAGAGCCCCCAAAATAGTTGGAGTTGAACTAAAATCTGACAACGCTTCACTGATCAAGTCACCTCTCCATTCACCAACAACTGAAGGACCGCACGCGTTACAAGCGACAGGTCGAATTATTTCAAACGCTGGTCCAGTCCTTACCACAGAAGATAAGAAACCTAATTACAAACCTACTCAAAAAATACCAATGACGAGTTCAGTCTCCGAGTCTGTTCCCCCATACGAAAAATTCGAGTCAGTGAAGAAAAAGTCGAAAATTTGTAATCAAGCAGAAAAAAGAACGGCGGAGAGAAAAGTCAGTTCCATTGATCGGAAACGACGTTCAAGACCAAAAGCAGATGAATCTGCAGACGAGGACGATGAGGAGTATGACACCAAGAAATATGTTAGGAAGAAGAAGAAGACTCCGACGAAGCGAGTACTGAAGTTGCACAGCTTGACGGCGGACCTATTGTTTCAGGTACTATATTGAGAGTAAAATCATCTGAATAAACGTTACAAAGAAATTTTCCTGATTGATGATAGCAATAGTAAACTTTGAGCAGTAAGTGAAATTGCACTACACGCTATCTAAATATTCGTTAACTTTTCGCACATGTAGTTGCGGAGCACAAAGTTTTACCCATAACAATTAAAAAATTTCTTGCTCTCTTTGTTAATTTACAATTTTGTCAGCGGGACAGCTACGACAATGTTGAAATCACTGTAGTAAATAATTTTAAATTGCTAACTTTTCTCTTAATTCAGGCTAAGAGACTGGAACAGGCATTGGTGTCGAAACAGCAGTTAGCAAGGGATGCGAACACTCCCAGCGCACAGAACTACCACAACCCTGAGGCTCTCAAAGAAGTTCCTGATCCTCAAAGAGTAGGCCTCAAAGGCCACGGCTCTTTGCGAGTGGTTGGGGAAGCACCTCCTCGATACGTAACACGCCACCTCCCTAAGGTGCCAGGGCAGACCCGTACTTGGTCTTCTATTGAGACCATTGCCTCGCCCAGCGAGGTAAGGCTGGTTAGAATTGGTCAGCTGTAGTGATACTCGAGTTCTAGAGGGGATTCATAAGCTAATGAAAGTATCTCATGTTAGTACCCTCTCCCTCAATGATATGCAGTTCAGATAATATATTTTTTATTAATTATTTATAATACGTTGAATCGTTTAAATATTGATTATTAATTACACTTCGCTCATAAGCGTCTACTCTCGCGATGATTTCTGATGAAAACATTTGTTTTTCCATTGCTACCGAATGTTCCTTGTTAAGGTTAAACATGAAATTAATTTCGTATTTTTCGACGCTAGGCCACATCATTTACGATGAGTGCAGAGGGAGACATCCAGGCAATGACACGAAGAGAAAGCCAGACAGATTTACTGGAACTAAACGCAGAGATCAGCAGAATGGCTAAGGAACTCAGGCAGCAGATGATGGATTTGTGGACATTCAGAGGTGGGAGGAAGGTTAACTCGTCATCCTGTCCAAATTTTTGATTTCTAATGTCGATAAGTTGTCGACTTTCAATAATTGTTGGCAAATTAGAATCTCTGCCAAATTTGCTATCGAATATAAGGTTACATTTACACAAAAAATAGACAGTTGGCGTATGTAAAAGCCGTTGAGTCACGTATTTAAGGTAGTAAATTTGATAAACATCTGAAGATGCACGAATTTCTTGAATAGATTTGTGAATAAGCAGGCGCTTTGTTGTTTTAAGCGATATATTACTAAATAGGAAGATACTACTTATTATGTTGGATGTTATGTATATCGTCAAAATTAATTTCCAAAAAATAATTATTTAGATAACGAGAAGAAACGACTTTGTGTGATTCAATTAGAAAAGTATGAACTAAGGCCTGGCTAAATTCACCTCGTCAATTGAATTCTACTTATAGAGTCCACTTCGCCCGAGTCCATGTCGTCCGATTTGGAGGAAATTCATCACTTGGAAAAAATGTCATCTATCGAAAGTAATGTAAGCAAAAATATTTCAACACTTTAAAAAAAACTGTTATTTATTTTTGTATGTGTAGAACCATTTCAAGGAAATAATATTAACGAAACTTGGACTTTTTCATAATTCATGTTGAAAGTTGAATAATATCATGAGCAACATTAGCTCTCGGGACAAGCATTTGCTAGTTCAACTCGAGTGCATTAGTTCAACTAATAATTTAATAAAATTAGTTCATTAAACATAAAATTATATAATTAATTGCGAAAAATTTGATCACAGAGCGAGTCCCGTCGACAGCTGTTCATTGAAGCCCAAGAAGTATTCAATAGCATAGCATCGCTTGGCAGAAGTCCAGAAACCATGACTCCTCGCTCTCCCTCGCCGGTTGAGTCTAAACCCCCACGTCAACAAGGCAAAAATTTGGTCAAGAGTCGTTCATCTGAACAATTTCTGAGACATTTATTTCCATTTGACTCATGTTCAGAATCATCTGCACCGAAGTCATCCGCTCACACGTCATCCCATTTTCAACATTCACATTCTTTCCCTTCTTCTCCGTTGCTGCGATCATATCACAGATCAGATATAATTGATGAGCAAAAACATGACCATGCACGGCAGCAAGACTCCCCGATACACCTCACACAGTTTACCACGCCTCAGAAGAATAGTTTACTCCAAATACTTCCTTCTGATCCACCTGAATTTCATAAAGATTTTGCCCCAGAATCGCTTGAATTTCGAGAAAATCCGTGCAAAGTATCATTTTATCTCGACTCGGATTACAACGACGTAGCTCTTCATTCTCCCATAAAATCAAATGCTGCTTCTAGCTCTCATTCTCCCATTCTAAAAACGTTGCCAACGAGTCATAAGAAGATTAAAAAGTCGGATAGTAGCGAAGAATCGCCAAAACTGGAAATGTTGGCAGACCAAAGTCCTCCCGTCACCGAGATTCTTCATCGGCCGATAGCAGAGCCTTCAATAGAAACAAAATCTTCGAAAACGGTGGATTTGTCGACGCCTCCTGATCCAGGAAGAAACGGTTGTTCAACGTCAATGGCCGTTGACCAAAAACACAAGTGAGGAATGGTGTTCATAGGAAGTTTCTGATTAATTCATAGAAAAGCTAATATCAAAATCATGAGAAGGATGATAACTAAAAGTAGTTATCAATAGCTTATTTTAACCGACAATAATATTAATGAGTAATTCCTATTTTGTGCAGGAAACTGTCACACGTTACAACAATCTGGCCTCAAACGCAACTAGCATTCAATCCCAATGACAATATTCCATATTTGCATTAATACAATTCCATTCTTTTTTTATTGCAGCAATCAACGTGATTCATCAAACGATGTAATAACCGTGGGCGCCGATGCAAAAAGAAGCCAAATTCGAAAACGGCTTTCGTCAGGTGGTCATCTGGATTTGGCTAGTGAGAATCATCTTCATGGTCAAAACGAGTGGCTGAACAACTCTCATTCGATTAGAGATACAGATAAAGAACATGACATTGCGCTATTCCAAAGCATACCGGTTTCTCAGCATCCTGACGCAGCATCAGCGAGTGGTGACTTTAAAACACGAAATTTGCCTGACTTGGAACAGCTCCTTCCTAAGGGCCACGAAACGACTTTTGCCGATCTAGTTCGAGTTCACGACGAACTTTATCGAATCGAACAAGAAAGAGAGCGGTCAGAGACCGCGTCAAATAGGCGCAATACATTAAGAAAACAATCATCAAGCCATCAACAAAAGCACAAAGATCACCTACGTGAGGCTTATGAGAACAGTCAGATGAGAATACAAGCAAGTATAGAGCCAATTCAGCTAATGCAAGTCGAACATCAAGGAATACATTCGACGGAGCAAAATACACATTCCACACCAAGCAACCAGAAGACGAGAGTAGATGCCCCAGAAAAACCTAATTTTGTAACGCAACAAATTTTACACTTGCAGTCATCTGAAATACCACACATATTACCTGATCGGACGAATGTTATCGCAACGAAACAGAAAGAGAAGTTTGAAGTCCATAATGTCCAAGAAGAAAATCCAATGGATGAATCTGGCCGAAGGCTGTCCGCTTCAAGATCTTCAGCTGATGACAAGGCAAGTGATTTTCAGTGTTATTGTTATACAAGTATTTCTCTAAAGCCGTTCGAGGCCAGAATTTTATTTTTTTTCGAATTTTATTTTTCATTTTATTTTTTTGCAGAATTGTATTTGTTTTAATGGTTCTCGAAAATTTCAGAAGGTCTACGGGGCTCACCTGAGTGGTTCAGTTTGTTCGCAACCTCTAGAGGCTGAATGCAAACAAAATTCTCAGCTTGGCTACCCTGGCGAAGATTCGTCTTTAGAAAGAAATTCCAAATTTAGCACCTTGAAAAGCACTGCATCCAGTAAATCTTTTGAGCAAGCCCTCTCAACCAGCTTTGAATGGGAGCTTGGAACAGAAACTTTCAACTCCGCTGCTTCATCCAGGCAGACAAACTCTCCACTTTCCTCTCGACTTGTCAATACGTCATCCCAACAACCAAACTTTGCCACAGAGAACAGAATATCTTTTTCACAGGCCAACGAATCCTCCCGCATTGTTTCGTCGGCGCTGGATGAAAGAAACGTTCAATCTCTGAGAGTAGAAAAGAAGGTGAGAATCTCATCCTTAAATTCACTAGTTCTTTGGTGCACAGAGAAATCATTATTCGAATTGGATGATTTTCTTAATTATTAAATTATTTTTACAACTCACAATGAGAAAATGACTTGTATGTAGATCTTCAAGATCTTCCTGCGCCTCATACTTTATTATATTGTATGTTTGCAACGAAGACTCGCACATGCAATTAAGAACTACAAGATAAATATACATTTTTTAATTGCTACAGTTGTAACAGCTCAACTTTTTATCTCCCGACGGCCACTTCCGTTACCAGGTCTTTAGATACAAATGGCATTGAAAATTTTTACTGCATTTATACGTTGAAAAATGTTTCACAAAATTTAGTTTCAGTATTGCGCACTGAACGATGCAAGTGGGCGGGGCGCGAGGACCGAAAACAGCGTCTTCGAGACAGAAGTCACCCGCGAGCACAACCTCACCCCGCAGGGAAGGCTCAGGGCTCGACGCGTGTCCGACTCCCAGGCGAGTGATATTTGAAATCAGAGGCGCTGATGACAGCATTAATAGATTAATTACGAACAAAAAAGTACTGACTAATATAATTTGTCTTCATTTGTTTCTGATATAAAGTTTATTTGATAGCAGGAATATGGTGATTCGTTTTTTGTATTTGTGCAAAGTTAAATCGTTGTTTGCGTATAGCTATCGGATAGATAAAGAAAAACTTAGCCATTTTCAGTTTACAACTCATTCATTCCAACACCAAGGCAATAAGTTCTTAATTCTCAGGTTGAATATCATGGAGGGGGTGACATTGAATTAAAGCGGAAGGTATCCATTCGCGTGGCCACAAACGTTTTCGTCCCTACAAAACGTACAATTTTCACACCTGCCTCCAAAGATCTAGCAACACCAACCTTTCTGCCATCATCAACGGACGAACCTTCACTTTTGCGCCAAACTGGCCAATCTGCTAGCACTAATGAAGATCCACATACCAATGAAAATACGAATATGATCCAGAGAAGTCGTAATTTCACGTTTTACCAACAACCAATGAAAAACGAATCTAAACCGAAAGTTTTGCAGCAATTTGAAAATGTGGGATCACGATCGCCGATATCTGGAGGTATGAGTGCTCCAGTAGAATCTAAAAGAAGAGTTTTGGAAGCAGCTAGCAAGACTGGAGGTGAAACTTCCCCAACGGTGAAAGGTATGATAGAGCTATACAATCGTAGAATAACTGAGCGACAAAGCATGTTGACGAGTCCATCTAAGTATTGGATATCTGATGGCTTAAATGCTAGTAACGTACGTGATATGCGACAACTAGGAACATCATCGGCAGAAAGCACTTTACGTGGTACCGGCTTCAAATCTTGTGGAGAGCGATTCGAGTTTAGCGGAACCCCCTCGCCTGTTCTCCAGCGAGGTAAGTTACAATTCCCTCCACAATTGTATCCACGCTCCAGCCCTGGATTGTCATCTGACGGGACCTCTGCAATTGAGTCGTCATTTGAAATATCTGCCGATGAAATGGAACCCACTCCTAGAGCAGTTAAGTTGAAACAGGCAAAAGAGGAGTTTTTCTCTCGACGAATTGAGCAAAGTGATGGAGATGCACGAGGGCGGAGTAGTTCTGATTCCAAAGCTATCGAGCCGGCAGTTGCACCATGTAGTTTTTCGAAAACTCCATCAAATATGGTTAATCGCTCAACAGACACAAGAGATAAGCCCTTGAAGAAAGAATTCATTAGGTTGCATACTGATCAACCAACCAAAGATACCGAAGAACGAGCGAAATTCGGAGCAGTCCAGAAATCATCGTCTTCTCAGAATGTTGATCAGCGTCTGCCTTTACCTATAAGACTGTCATCGACCGAATCTTCTCTATATTCAAAGTCGCCAAAACGAATATTGAAATTTTTTAAACGTTCCAAAGATAAGAATAAGAAAGAAATGCGATCAGTGCAGCAACTCTGTCGACTAAGTTTAGAGGTTGCCATCAATGAGATTCCTGAACAAGGTCACACTCGAGCATCGTCTCTCGGTGCCAGTGCAACCGTGGGTATAGTAAATACTTCCCCATCGGGAGGTACTGAAGCAAATCCTCTTCAGGACCCAGAAGGTGTGTGTAGTAACACACTCCCCAGGCCTACCTGCGGTTCGCAAAGTTCTTCAAGCGCCATGTCATGTCCATCGTCTCCTGTGACTCCCGGCAAGAACAAACCCTTTGGTTGGCTTGCTCGAGGAAAGGAGTTCCTAAAAGGCAGATCTCCTTCGCCTGGCAAGCACAAGCCCCCTTAATGTTAGGGCCGATTTCTTTAATATCGGCGTCTATCTTTGACTATAAATTAAGGGAAATTAAAAAGAAAAGTTTTAATGCGGGTATAAATGTTTTTTGTGTAAATTTTAATTTTAGTAAATTTTATGGGAATTGTATGTAGAATTGTTTCACTCAGACTACCATATCTTGGTATGGATTCGATTGAGGAAATTTCTATTCCGAAATGTTTTTCAAAACCATCGAATTTTTTTTTTAATCAAACACTAACTTGTGTAAAACAAATAAGTTCTCTGAATAAAATGTAAGTAAATTAGCATTTGATTATATAATTTGAATTAAACAGTGCATTTTGCGGTTATTTCATTAAGAATATAGTGTTCAATCAGTATGGTTCTGAAATCGCCCAACTAGTATATATTATTTGAGAACTTTACGTACAATTTTGCTCACGACCATTAACCAAGTGAAAATTACCTGAACCTTGTGTCCCTTATCTTTCTAAAAATTGTGGATAGCACTGAATCCTATGAGTAATAAACGAGAACATAACACAACTTTCATCTTTATCCGCTGCCTTTTAGCATCAGGAGCGTTCAACCTTATAGTAATTGAAAACATATCCTTGAATAATGACAAGAAGAACTAATAATTGTTGTGATAATTTAAATAATTCATAAAATATTCATTTGGTTATGTAGTAAATTTTATTCACTAAAAATTCTCACTAAAATTATTTTAAAATACAAATTATGCAATCGAATGGAAATATTCAAAATTTGAGAAAAGCCCCGAACCGGAACTAATATTGCATCATATAAAAAACTATAATCTAAGCTACGTCTAAATTGCTGCAATCAGTAAGATTTTTATAAATAAAGGCAAGACTATAAACAATATTTTTGATGATAGGTGATCGCGGTCTAACTGTGCTGCAGTGCAATATACGGCAGCTCCCGCACTCCGCTAGCGCCACCAAGCAAACTGCAGCAGTTGCACTGGAAGCTTCGTGACGTTAAGTGATGGTACAGCGCGTTGGCGGCGAGAAAAGTGTTGCGCAGTGATGCAGTGGTGGTGCAGTGATGCACAGGCAGCGCAGTGATGCATTGGTGGTGCAGTAATGCACAGGCAGCGCAGTGATGCATTGGTGGTGCAGTACTGGATAAGCTGCGCAGTGATACGATATGACGCGACACAACACAGCAGTGTACTGGTGCTGTGGTGGTGCAGTGAATCGCTGTGGTGCAGGTGCTCAACGTTATCGATGCACTTTTTGCAAAATGGATAAAGTTTTTCAGATCTATTACATTATGTGTGTAAATAAGTACGAGAAAAACTTTTTAATTTTAAGTAATACACACTAGCGTAACTATCTACGTTAATATTAATGCAGATTCAATATTTATGAGGCAGAATAATATCTACGTAAAGAGAATTTAGTTATGAGGAGAAGGGATACAGGCTTCCATTAGGAAAAAACCTCGGCAGGCTCATGGATGGACTTAAAAGGGCCAAAAAGGACAACGCTTGATATGTCAGCTATTTAGAAAAGGCATGGTATGTCGAAAAAATTATTTAAATCTTCTACAAGTATACATTGCATGACAACATCAGATTATTATTCATTATTCGCACACATTAATTTCAGGTACATATATAATTGGTAATTATGCTGCATTTTCTTGACATTTTCTATGCTTTAGAATTCTTACTAATTCACAGTGATTGTTACATTGCATGATGCGATTGTGACAAACTAAATAAGTGTTCCAGCAGTACAGACGAAAAGATGCTACAACTGGGACAACTCTTCTGTTAGAACCTACGATCAACTATGCATATAAATAATGCTGGGCAAATTTTAGTTGATGAAGAAAATTAAATTTGTTGTTTGAAAATATCATGACCTAGACCGGTATCTCTCATAACAGCATTCCTCTTTTATAGACAGAATAGACTAGAACATTATTTTTTTATCTTTCTTTTCTGTCGCAATTGCAGCGCTAAATGCCAGAGGTTTACTCTTAGAATTAAATATAAATCATCCCATGGTTGTTTGAAGGATGTGGATAACTTTTTCATAATTTGTATTTCCCATCAAGGCCAGATGATTTCAGCAACATGCCATAAGTCTTTCAGTTCTATTTTCAGTCATTTTTAAGAGATTGATATCTTTTGAGAATAGAGTTTTACTCTTTAAATTTGTTCTTTTTGTACAATATACAATAGAAATTTTAAAACATCTAGATGTACAGTCAACATTCTCATTCAGAAAGAACTGTTCTCATTAGAATTACTGGAAATCAACCTATATGGTTTTAGCGACTTTTTCATGCATACATAAAATTATCTCCATTTTGAACAAAATATCTATTAATATAATCTTGATCCAAATAAAAATTAAGTTTCCGCATGGAAACATTTAACATTACAATTTAAATCAAGTGATAAAATCAAGTGATTTTAACTACGATACAGTCTTAATCACAGCCCAACATGGTAATTCAACTTCATAAAGCGCAAGTTTTCGTCTCATTATCAAGACATTGGTTGCATTATTCATTCTCAGTAATATATTCATGTTAGCCACATTCTATTTAGCGTTAAAAATATGAGCTTAAGCTATTCAAGTGGTAACACCTCACTATGTTCTCGCCATTCCTTTTCACACAGTTTGTGCTGTAATCTTTCAATAAATAACTTATCAGCTTGGTCGATGGAGTTGTTCCAGTTTGTTTAAGGGACTTCCAGGATCGTCACTCGTGCGAATTATTGCACGCATTATACGCTGGTTGAATGGGAGATGCATTTTAATACGTTGACTACGATTGCTTCATCTTGTACTATTATTTCCTTTTTTGTACTATTATGACTTCATGTACCTCTACGTTCTGGAGAAATACACTTCGTGGGACGCAACGTGTTAAAAGTCGACGACGAAAAAAGTCCACTTCGGAGTCCACGTGTTAAAAGAAAAAATATTCCGTATGAGTTCATTGCGTTTACATTGCTGAATACGCTGAGCAGGCAATGAATAAATAACAGATCATAAATCAGAGAATCAACAAACTAAATAAAGAAATCAAATTTACACCAAAACGATATATGCATTTTCAAGTAAAAATGCAATTTAACACTATACTACAATTTAGCATGTAGTAGTGCAATTTATCGCTACTATACAATATCATGTTTTATTCATAGTGTCATATAATATTAGCAATACATCGCTGAGACCATATGAGAAACTGAGATACTTTGACAAAAAATTTAATTTAAATTTATTTAAAAGGTGGTTCACATTGGGTTCACTTTTTATTAACAGTCTATTTCGCATATTTCTCCTTCAATATGCGTCACGAATATGAAATAGAAGTGAATACTAGGTATTGTTAAAAAATCGATAATTTTACGATTTAACATCGATAGTCCGGTCAACCTTATGTTGTAATCTGTTCATGATGTCTAATAAAAATATATTTAATGAAAAAAATCAACACAGACCCAAACGATAACAAGGAAAAATTGCATTTCTATTCATACGTTTTTAACACATTGGTAATATAATCAAATCCAGTCGCACTATTATTGCAAAATGTACATTAGATTGATCAGAGCGTCATGCTAGTGCAGACGAACAGACATGCAGCGCAATCAATGGCCGAGCGAATAACTTTATTACGGAGCAAAACTTCGGTTTACGAAGTTTTCGCGTGTCCTTGATAATGAATTTTCTCATAAATCCAATCGCAAATACAAAAGCAGTTTTGAAATTACAAGCCCAAATAATATATACAAAGATGAAACTAAGTAATTTACCTGGGAAAAAAAAGTAAAATTTTTAATCGAATTCATTTCGAAAACCAAAAGTTAGATGACATATCATGCGATAGGCCGCTTCCTGGCAAAACTTTCCTCTTTGCAACGACCCAACTTCACTATCGTCGGCAATTGCTGCTGTTCAACTTATACAGGAATTCCAAGTACGAGTTCATCATGTTCTATTACAAAATATATTATGTTTAGTCCCACTAGCTTGCAAAGAAATAATCTAAACTGACTAAATTGATTTTCATTTTAAATACATTAACCTGTTCTCAGTCGTCGCCACATGTAACGGTGAAACTAGAAACCCATTCTAATAAAAATTGACTATTATAGACAATGATATTATCATTATTATTGAACTATTCCGGACGAATGATGAAAAAAGTAGATCGAAATCAGAAAAAACTTCTCTCCGTTGAGTTAATCTCATTATCCTAACGTGTTTATTTTCCTACGTAAATTTTAATTTATAATATTAGTTCAAATAAGGTTTTTTGGATGGATATGGATAAAATAAATCATACTCTAAATTTATTATTTTCTAACGTTTATTATTTCTATCACAATTAAATAGGTATTAATCAGTTTCCGTGAAATTCACTCACTTACATAAGTTACATTCTTTAATTTCAACAATAAGCAGCATCTTCAAACTTGACGCACAACTCGTATATCATTTTTAAGCCAAAGCCTCAACAGGTGCAGAGAGCAACAGGCAACAATACATTGTGTGTGTATATGTGTATATCATTTTTAAGCGCGAGCCTCAACAGGTGCAGAGAGCAACAGGCAACAATACATTGTGTGTGTATATGTGTATATCATTTTTAAGCCAAAGCCTCAACAGGTGCAGAGAGCAACAGGCAACAATACATTGTGTGTGTATATGTGTATATCATTTTTAAGCCAAAGCCTCAACAGGTGCAGAGAGCAACAAGCAACAATACATTGTGTGTGTATATGTGTATATCATTTTAAGCCAAAGCCTCAACAGGTGCAGAGAGCAACAGGCAGCAATACATTGTGTGTGTATATGTGTATATCATTTTAAGCCAAAGCCTCAACAGGTGCAGAGAGCAACAGGCAGCAATACATTGTGTGTGTATATGTGTATATCATTTTAAGCCAAAGCCTCAACAGGTGCAGAGAGCAACAGGCAACAATACATTGTGTGTCCCTTGATGAGCTTTCCCCTCCACGACAACGTGAAGCAGCGCCTTTGCCCTCTCACCTCCCCTCTAATCGATGCCACGTATATAGCGTGCCACGTATATTGCGTGCCACGTATACATATAGCGTGCCATTTGCATGTCCGGTCCAGCTAATGACCTAAGTCACGGTCTGGTCGCGAACTGTGCTTACCATGTACAATGCAAGTGCATTAAAAAATAATATGCTTACAACATTAGAAATGGGGCCAGGTCTTTCCACTTAGACCAAGAATTTAGGCATGCGATTAATTATTCAGAACTAGACATGATATTCGCAATTGTATTTAAAAATTATAATGCTGGCGAATAAATTTTTTTCTAAGACTTTTGGAACATGAACGCATACGAACTATTCTTAGATTTAGTTACACTAGGATTGAATTTGGTGACATGTTCATTATGTAGAGGTTGAGCATTAGTGATATGTCCATAAGTAGTGGGTATGCATCAATGATATGATTTCAATTGATGCCATCGCTCTACGAAACATGAATTTAAACTAGACACAAAAATATCTAAGGCATGATACTCGGGCCTTTTAAAATAATTCATTTCAGACTTATTTTCCGATTTCATTATTTTGCGTCTGCATTTATATTATTTTTGGAAAACTAAGGAGCAGTTACGCAGCTGTCGCATGAGCAAATAAGACACTTATTTTTCTAAAAAAATCTATTTGATTTTGCTTTGCAGGAACTCTACACTTGATGCATGTCTGGTCGCAATTTCTTAATTTAAGTGATAAAACTATTGTAATTTCATGCATTCATACATATCACGAACGAATATAGAAAAAGTGCAAGAAAATATCTAGTAAGTTGCTCTAAAAAGAAAAATATTTGATATGGAAAATTTCACATTTATTTAATACCAGCTGTTCATGTAGTAATAACTGTTGACTCTACAATGAGATAATGACAATTGACACAACAGTGGGACAATAACTGTTAAAACAACAGTGAATAACGACTAGCTGTTGACTAATAAAAAAACAAGTATGGGTGCAGGTCGGTATGTATGAAGAAACTGTGCAATATCGACAACACTTTATTAAAACTAGGATGGCAGCAAACTGAACGAACATTATTTGAGCGGAATTTAATTGGGATAAACAAGGATAAACGAAGAAAATTTCAATGATCGCCCAAATCGGATGAAAATGTAACATTTCTCCGAAAATTTATTCAGCCTGAGGTAATCCCTCATCATGTAGCGAATACTAATAAACTTATTTGAAATTTTTAAATTTAAGGTTCCCATAATGGACTGAAGCAAAGTTGGGTTCCCGTTGCTTTACATTTGACGCTGGATCTTATAAAACTGAATACAAACTTATACGCGCATTGAAACATATGGAAGAGAATGAAGATCGTTGACAAAATGGATATCGTTGGAACAATTTCAAAGTGACTGCGAAAGCGATTGTGAAGGAAAAACTGCTGAGTGGACAATTAATGGACATCAGAGGGCTGGACTAGTCAAGCCCCTCATCAGAAGCAATTTCTAAATGCAACGGAACGGAACTTTTGTGTGGACTGGACAGCGGAGACCAGCTTGGAATGATGAGGCGATGCTGCTGTCGTCCTAAACATGAACCGATGGCAGAAAGCAGTCAGGAAACTTCAGCTCGTCAAGTGGGGTGAGTCGGGGAATATTTAGAACGACTGGGAAGGGGTGAGATGTTGGGAAAGGGTGAGTTGTTGGGAAGGGGTGAGTTGTTGGGAAGGGGTGAGTTGTTGGGAAGGGGTGAGTTGTTGGGAAGGGGTGAGTTGTGGGTTGAGCTATTGAGGTGTGCGAGTTGAGAATTTTGTTACACAAAGTAAGGGATTAATTAATGAAAGATTAGAGTATTATAAGAGTTGATTCATCAGGTGGCGAGGTGGAAATATTTCTAGCGATGGAGAAGAGGAGTGAGCTGTGGAAGTGCGTAAGTCCATAATTTTGTTAAACAAAGTAAGGGTTTAATTAACTAAGTCCACAATTTTGTTAAAAGGGCATCAACTCTTACAATACTGAAGTATTGTAAGAGTTGACTTTAGGCAGGTAAAATGGGCAGTGAATATTTCTAATGAGGGAGAATACGGTAAGTTGGGGAGGGGAACATGGAGGTGTGTAAATTAATTTTTTGAACAAAGTAAAGGCTTGATTCACTAAGGATTAGCAAGCTGAAGTATTATAAGAGTTGTCAGTTAAGTTGAGTTGGATATATTTCTGCCTAGGGTGAGTTGCGGTGAGTTGCTAGAGGTGCATAAGTTGATAATTTTGTTGACCAAAGTAAGTGATTAATTCACGAAGAATAGTAAGACTGGAGTATTATTACATAAATGTTTTCAAAGTGTCCCAGGAGCTAGTTCCTAATGTTTGACTCGTTTGAAAGGGAAATTGGTCTCTACTAATAAATTAGATTGAGCGATTGATGAGTATTGTTTGTTTACGGCGGGTTCAGAGTAATTGATGAAATTTGATAACATTTATGATCCTCATGATCGTTAAAATTATCGTTAAAGTAGTTTTCAACCATTTGTTACAGCCTTGATTGTAATACAAAATTATGTAAACCCGGAACTTCTCCACCATCTCAAATTGACCTGAGACGATAAATCGCGAAATAGAATTTTTGTGTGCAGATTTTTCGAGATTTTGAATTTTTTTATCCTTTATTCACTCTCTGAACGATCTGTCAGGTCAGGCGCGCTGACAGATTGGATATATGCTGCTTATGCTTGAAAAACTTTTAGCATGAACTTCTTTTTTGCGACTCTTGCTCCATTTGTCACTTTTTTTACATTTCCTCATTGAATTTGTTCACCAATGAAATTTTGGGCATTCTTTGCTTAGAAATGTACACGTTTGTTTACAAAAAATCATCCGTACTTTAAGTGGAGAAATAATATATTGTGTACGGTTCATTTAATAAACAAATCAATTTTACGATTGATGAGCATATATTACTGAAAGAAATTGATTGTTTGTATTGTTTCAAAAGTAGGCAAAAATGAATCTATAGGTAACATAAAAGAACTTTTCAATCATTGACATGCTGGAACAGAAATTGAAAACAACGGAACATCGTTTTTTTAATTGTACAGACAAGTCAATAGCCATTACTCATACGTCGCACAAAGGGCATCACAGTTCACCGAATATATGACCCCGAAATCGTATTTTCTCGGTTCAGAAAGCTCTTGCCCTGAATCAATGGCATGCGACACAAGCGATCGCACTATGGCAACGATCGAACTGCGCCTGCTGATGGTGTTGGTGAACAGTGCGACTCGGACAGATGTCGCAATTAATACAAAATAAAAATATATCAATAAAACTAATTCCCTGGTCTCCAATCAAACCTATTTAAAGGCATAGTTAAAACAACAATTCAATGTTTTGAAAGAACATCTGCCTTTAATTATGCATCAGCATAATTATATTGGAAATTTTCCTTTTAATTTTTAATATTAGACACGATAAAGTCATTGGGATCTTTTAATGGCTAATTTAGTGACAGTGTTTGGTCAAGATAAAGATGGCCATTCAGAAGATTTGAAATACGCGCGGTAAGGTTCCAGGAAATGAGTTTCGTGTGTCAATAAAGGTCAGAGGTTGATGAATATGAGCTCTGAAGTTCGCAGTAGCTACGCATATGTCCAAAGTTCAAATGATGTACGAGAATCGTAATTGCTGTTTTGAAGGAAGTAGGTGCAAAGTTCCAACAAAAACTTGAAACTTGCAAGATTATGCGGTGTTTTAAGTGCAGTTTTGAGGCTTAGTAAGTTTGAAAGATGCACCATAAATTATAAACGCTGTTTGAGAAATTACCGGTGCCGTACAAATGAGAACTGCAAAGAAGAGTGAACTATGAAGATCTTGTGAATGCAGCAAAGACTTACCGTTAGTGCGCAAAGTGAGGCAAGGAAGAACAAAATATGAAGATCTTGTGAGTGCAGTAAAGACTAACTGTGATGGCGCACAGTGAGGCAAGTAAGAGCAAAATATGAAGATCTTGTGAGGGCGGTAAAGACTAACTGTTAGCGCGCAAAGTGCGGCAAGAAAGGGCAAAATATGAAGATCTTGTGAGTGCAGTAAAGACTTACAGCGAGTGCGCAAGTTGCTGCAAGGAAGCGCAAACAGTCATTTTAATCGATGCACTGACCTCAAAAAGATATGACTTGGTCGCACGAGAAGCGCCGGTTTGGATAAAAGAGCCAGGGATTTGATCTTTTAACTATAAGCTAGGGAAGCGTCAATTTGATTATTTCGGATTTTAAAAACTTTCTATCAGACATCTTTATTTATTAAAAATTGTCATGGAAAGCAGGAATAAAGACATTCTGTATAGTTATTCTCATAATATAATTTAATTTTCATAATCATTTACATTTGTGAATATTTTCACGATTTATAGCTGTTAATGATAATATAGGGAATATAAATATGGGTTGTTAGGACTTTCTCTCATATCAACAGACTCAACTATATTCTGAGCCAATGAAATAATTTGAAATAATTATCAATTCTATTCATATTTTCACATTGAAAAAATGGAACAATTAAATATCTTAAATCGTTCAATCCATAGCTCGACACGGAGAAATAAATTGTTTCATTAAAGAACTTGGTACCTAAATGTTTTTTGACCGTGTTGATCGCAAATTAATAAAATACTTCTATTTACAAATTATAGTTAAGTGGAAGATGAGCACATCTAAACACGAAGTGGCGTCGGCTCCCGAGGCTGAATGCCTAGATTTGTTCACTAAATAAGTTAGTAATATTTTGTGAAGTGAGTATTAGTTACAAATTGTTTATTAATAAACAGGTTCGCAATCAGATGCAGGAATTTCACAAGAATGACAGCGCTTGCAAAAAAAATTATATTAAACTCAGTGAACGCTTTTGGAAATCATGGAATAATATATTGTCTTATCACCATTTGCACCATAACGACTTGAAATTATGGTGCAGGGTTTGTAAACTTGCGTAGTAATGACGAATTGCAAGTCCAATCCAAACTAAAGATTCATTCCCAAAATGGAAAACATAATGGATAATATTCTTTTTTGGTCTTTGCCGTTTGCATTTGCAAAAATTCTTACTAAGAAATGTTCTAAAATATTTCACTGACAGAAAACATCACTTCTCTTATAAATAAATATCGCTCGGATATAATAAATGTTGAAGCTAAACGTGAGGTTCACAGAAACCCGTCGGAATAAAACCCTGGTGTTGCAGATGCTGACTTCCTTCGTACGGGAACATTAAAATGAGCCCGATTTCTGGTATTCTGGTATTAAAATGAGCCCAAGTTCTGGTATTCATCGACACCTCAAAATCATAAGTGACTCGCCCAACCGTCCACCAAGCAGATGACCAGAGTAAGTGGCTCGGTCGTTATTTGATTGTAGTGAATGAGGGAGCCTTGATGTATATTATTTTCACTAATACATGAATATAAGAAGCCCGTATGTCTGATATAGTACTTAGTTAGAGCGCATGAACATCAAATAGCTTGCACGTATTATAATGTATGACTATAGGGTGCATATTACATGGTTTAATTACGCACAACCTAATGGCTTAAAAGGCTACTAAACCTGACACCAGTTCATGGATCAGTTATTTTCTACACGGATAACTAAGCCTGATACCAGTTCGGAGACTAATTTCAGGTTTTACAGTTAGACTATAAATGATAATTGGGATTTTATTCCCATTTTCAACAGGCATTTTTACCATTGCTTATTCCAGCGGCATGAGAAAAATTACTGTACATGTTCTCGTATTGCATAGTAATTGTTCTTAAAGAGAATTACTCTCAGATTATAGGAAATTCGATCTACCACATACGTACACGTAAACTGAAAATTCTCTCTTATAAGCGCTTATAGGTGAACTGATAAGCTTATCCGGGGGGAGAACATGAACTTTTAATGTAAAATTTTAATCCAGACTTCAATAAATATGACTTGAGAAAGTGTGAACAACTTCTTCTTGTTTTGAGAAAGTGTAATAGAAATTTTAGAAATATGTAGAGAAGCACCTGCACATTTTGCATACTCACTGCCAATTATTTTGTGTGTCTATTGATGTAATTTTCGTATTATTTCACAAATTTTTCAATGCACAATAATCTAGAGCTATAATCAGCGGAATTGTTTGGTGGCTGTTAGTGTTTGTTTAATCTGCTTTGCTGACAACTCATTGAAATTCAGTGATTTGCCCTCACCAGCATTTTGTCCCTTCCTATTTTCGACAACCAAGAAGGCGAAAATACTAAATAAATTACTGCTATAACTGGTGATTATTTTAACAATTAATTACATTATTAATTAAAATATACATAGACTCTCAATGCTATGGCAGTAGCAGAAATTTCGAAACCCTAGACTTAATCCATGCATTAAGCTTAATTTTGCAGGACTTCGAAATAAAAAATATCTGCAAAAAGCAAACCAGCCTACTTATAAAGTACACCTCAAATGAGTTACCGTTCCTTCGGTGCTCACAAATGAAACAAACAATCCTCGACGCAATCAACCAAGACAGCATATCAACGACCTCAACAGTGACGCAATTGTACGTCGAAGATTTGTTGAGAAATTAATTGCTGAATAAAATAAAAAAATTAATAAGAAATTCAGTATGATGTACACCATTGCCATTGAAAGAATTAAAAAATAAACATCGCAACAGAAGAAACCAACGGATATTGCAAAAAATGCCATAGCTGCGGAATGAACCAATTAAAAGAACTAAAAATACCATCAATATTCAAGTTTCCAGTATAAAAGACGGTCAATGCTATTGATGCTAAGGTATCCCTGAAGGTGGTCTGGCGACGGGATTGTTACAATAATAAATAACATGCGTTTAAAAAGTACTTTTTTAATACCACACTTCTAAAGAGACAGGTGTCTCCGATATTATAAATGTACATTGAATTTCTTATTTTATTTTTAAATATTAAAAAATAATTTTTCAGTTGCATTGTCTCCGACTTTACGCAAGAGTTCAAAATTTTAAATTAATTGGATAGGTATAAGTATGTTAAACATCGATTATAAAATTTGTAGCAGACAGACAAGAAGTGAAGTTAAAGAGAAGTGTGGTAAAAAGATATAATCGAAAATTTCACTGACCATCGATCCTGGAGCAGAAAGGGCTAGCAAGGATAAATGTAAGGATTTGCTCGCTTACAGCGCCAAATCATCAGGATATTACGTGGAGCCTGGCAACTGCCGGTTATACTTCACGGTAATGTCGACCCTCAAAGCCTGATCACTGACCACTCGAAGGCCGTTCATGGCCAAGGCCACAATTTGCACGGTAATGGAACCCGGAGCTTTTTAGAAGAAACACGAGCTTCATTGTCTCTTAAAATATACATATGTTCCGAAAAATACAGTTGCTCCTGCTTAGTTATTATTTTTTTTGTTAATGGATCGAGGACAATCTCAAGAAAAGTTTAAATTATTGTATTGTTACCTTACTGATTATATACTGTTTTGCATGATTGGTTTTAAATGCACAGATTGCAAATGAGTTGAATTGTAATGCATGTTATGTAGATTATTATATATATGAGTAAAATCAAGCTATAATTAGTACTAAACACTAACAATATCCAAAAAATTATTCTTGGTATGTATTCTGATATATTTAATTTGCAGTTTTTGGAATGCACAAATGTTACTTTCAATAAATATTTGCTATTATGAGACGATGAAAATCTTTTCTTAAAATTTTTGCGTGCCGGTGAATTTTTTATAATACCTGTACTTTTTTTATAATTTCCTTTTATTTTGCATACTGACAATTTTTCCTGAATTGATGTTTATGGAGGTGGTATTTTTTTATGAAAATGTTCCAGTAATGGTAACGTAGTCGCAAATTTTCTACGATTCCCAATGCAACTAAACAAATTCAACTGTAATTTATTACAGTAAAATAATTTTTCCTACATAAAAAATCCGAAAAAAATTCCCAAGTCGTAAAATAGACCAAACATTCACCTTTAAAACGCAGTTTCACCTCTGGTGAATTCAACTATTTCATAATAAAGACTGAGATCTTTATGTAAAAATGTAATTTAAAACATTAATTTTTTACTAAAATAATATGAATGCGAAGAATCCGCTAAACTTTTTGTTTTCTTTATTATTAGCAATGAGTTCAATATAAATTGAAACTAAATAAATACTGAGATCCCACATTTTTGGCACCTGCTAACCTATAGCAATGCATTAGCAACCAATTATTCAAATTTTAATTTCCTTGGAATAAAAGCACAATTATTCTATTTTTTTCATTAAATTAGACATTTTCTTGTGTACTCTACTGATACAGACGAACTCATGCTCCGCCCTGCTCGCTACGAGATCTGCTTCGATGCTCCCGGCGACGTGTATTTTGCAGAAGAAATGGTCACGGGACACGTGCTGCTCGAGATGAAACAGCCTGTCAACCTCAAGGGTATGTCGTCCACGCCGTACAGAGATTTATTTCTTCTTCTAACTCTATTACTGACAGTAATTTTTGTCATCTGTGCTGCTCGAGATGAAGGGTATATGTCATCCGCGCCATCCAGTGATTTATTTCTTGATCTAACTCCATTACTGACAGTAATTATTTGTCATCAGCGCTGACAATAACTCTGCTACTGATATTAGTTTCTTGTAACGATAACGGACTCGCGATAAAGACAGTAACGTCCTCTCATAACTGACTATATATAATATATATATAGTCAGTTATGTTAATATATATAACCTTAATATATATAACCTTTAATATATAAAATATATATAATATTTTATATATATAACCTTTAATGTACAAAGATATGTTGATAAATCCTTATGATTTTTCGAGAGGCTTTCACAAACTCATTAGTTCTTACTTATTAATCTAATTAGTAACATTTTTCAGAGCAAACATTCTACCATAGCTTGTATGAGAAACGTTATACTCATTTGTTGTAATGTGATTTGAATGTGATTTGAACAATTACCCTACGGTAATTACCTTACGATAATTGCAATTAGCCGTTTTAACCGTGAATATCTCAGAATATTTTCGGGATGCTTAAACTGAAATCTTTAAACGGAGAAGCAACTTGGTCTTGATAGTAACAAAAGTTGCCAACTAATTTCAACGTCAACTTGTAATTGCACGCATTTAAACAAATTATATTTCAATTCACCAGGGGTGAAACTGCGTTTCAAAGGTGAATGTTTGGTCCATTTTACGGAAAGTCCATTGATTCTAACTTCGGAGCGTCCGAGGAAGAGCAGTACATACAAGAAGAGGTGGAGTAAAGGTGCAAGCAAAGGACCAAGTTTAGAAGACGACGACATAGCAAGTGACCACAAACTAATGAGGCAGCTACGAACAAGGAAACCGAATGGGGTCTCACCATTGTTGACTTCTCCATACCGCGGATCCACGCATGAAAAAATCAAACTTCAAGCTTGCGGGTGAGTCCGATTAAAATGAAGGATCAATTTCTGTACTGAATAAAATTTTAAATCAATTTCTTTAATTCGTATTACTAGAATTAGAATACAAATAGTTTCAAATAATTTTTGATGCAAGCTTGCTACCTCTAGGTAATATATTGTTTGAATTGTCAAGTTTGGACCATTCCATTGCGTAAAATTTTGCTCAGGGATAATAATAATTGAGGTTGCAAATATCAACGCTCCGTACATGGTCTTTGCTTACCTAACTGGTGGAACAATTTACGGGTATCAGAATTCGCAGCCATGCGACACCGCCATCAATCGATCGCGAAGCAATGACCGGGAAAAGAAATACTTGTTTCAACCCGCCTGTCTATAGCATAAAACCCGAATTTACCTGATGGTTTGATATTGGATGGAAACTCAAATATTTTATTTAAATTTCTCAATTAGCGCGTTTCTCTTCCGTAATGCCTTACTTTTCTCCCATTGAATGTGCAATGCAATGAGCCGGTTATATCCCAACTCTATAGAGGTATCATAGAAACGAGTCTGAGTAGCCCTTGTATATATCCGGTGTGAGGTTTATGACACTGGATGTAAAAACATTCACAAATATATAATCTCATAGCAGATTTACTTAAGTTACTCAGTGCAGGTAACTCCTGCAATTTGAAAATCTAATTATCTCAAATCTCGTAATCCTTCCATCAAAATCCAGTTTATAATATTGAATCGAAACGAAGTCATTGAAGGGAAGCACAAGATTTACATTTGTCCAAACTTTGTTTGAGGTTTATAGTGTTTTTTTTCCAAATTTTTCTTGAATACATACATCACAAATAGTGGTAACCCGAATCTCTGTATCCGCATTTCGTCATCCCGAGCCTATAGTCACCCCGAACATCGAATTTCATCGCCACGATTACAGTCACCACGACTCGCGTCACCACTAATCGCTAGTCTAAAAAATATAATTTATATATAACATTCCTTTCCGTGTTTTGCTACGCCGTACTATTCCAGACTTAGAATAGAATTCCAGGTCTAGGTAATATGCCGTGGATATGCACCTGAATACCTCCTATATACAGTCAGAAGTTCAGGCTACAAAGACGCGAACAAACTTTACAAATATACAATCGATTCGCAACTACTCAATTGCAATTTCGATGATTCCGTAGAACCGCAAAATATTGCAATCAAATTACCGATTACTGCGCTAATTTGCATGCGACCAGAAACTTCTGACAGGTTATATATCAGTGCACGTTAGACCTCTAATTTTACCCGACCACAGCCCCATCTGACAACAACTCTTGGCTGCAATTTTTACCCGTGCATTAAAAAGCAATGCCCCTGTCGCTATAATTTAATAAATACTATAAGAATATGTGATTAGTTTCATCGTTATATATTATATTATTTATTATTATTTATTAGTTTAAAATTTTCTTAGAAATATCGCTGAAAGCCTGTTGAAATCACATTTGCAGAGCATATTGCAGCAGATTAATCACAAATCATCCAAACCTTTTTACCTCTCTAAGAGAATGCACCAATTTGATAGAATAGGCTTGTAGTTAGAACCTGTCTAAGTTTAACCCTGGTATTGATCGGCTTAATATGAACTGGATTAAAGTTTACTTTTGATGCACACGGAAGCTCATGAATACTATAAGAGCAAGCCAGCCTGACGCCGACCTCCGCCTTATCAACACAGCGTCGCGCGGCAACCGGCAAATGCTTCATTTATATATTAAAGCTTCTTAATGTTATGTGTTGACAACTTCTGTGTCAGCTATCGGTGCCACAGGTTTCATAATTAGCCACCAAATTTTATTATTTTTTCTTAACAGGGCGTTTTCTCATTCCCTATCGTTTTCCAGTTTCATTGAATTCATTTCATAAATTTCTCCAGCTCACGTATTTTATAATTTTACTTGCAAAACTCATTAATTATTGTAATTAATTTCTCAAACTGCGTAAATTTGACCGTAAAAAGTATTTTCATGTTTTTGAGAAGACAATTTAAAATTGACATATATTTCATTGCTACGAGATCAGGTTCGAAAGAGGAAAATGTTGGGATAAACTTAGTCTCGGAAACTTCGTAGGCAACAGAGTTCATTTTTCAGTAGGCAACTTAGTAGGGAACAGAGTTCACGGCCTCATTAGAAGATTTTTTAATTTCTTTGGTAATCTACATATGTAGTCAAAGAGCCTTTTGTTCGGAGCAACTTTTTCGCACCCTATCGACCGTTCGTGACGGAAACTAATCTACGGATTTGGCTACCAAGATTAAATTGAGGTTTTGCGTTAAGTGGATGGCATCGAGACTTCAAATTAAATACTCATTAAAGCCAAGTATATGAAGTCAGCTGAGCTTCAAAATGGTTACAAAAATGTTTAAATGAGAAAATGTATACATTTATCGAACAGATATACTCCAGGGATTCATATGTTTATTTCCGAAAAAGGCATTGTTCGTCTCCAAGATACGTTTGCAAGTTCAACGTAGCTCCACATTTCGAAATGCAGATAGGAAAAGATCAAATTTCAAAATGTATTGTGAAAATAATATTAATATTAGAACGAATATAAAAATAAATGATAGTAACTAAGATTTGCCGATTCACAGGTCCCTAATTGTATCCTCTTTTAATTTGATAAATTAACTTCACTATTTCACATAAATCTTGAGCGGGAAAATACTATGAACAATAAAATTATAGGTTTTAAATAATCTTGAATAGTTTCTTCATGGACGCGTATTACCTCAGGTCTGAGTAACTATTGACTCGGTTTTGTTTGCGTGTTGGCTTAGATTTGGTTACGCAGCTACTTCATTTGAGTGCGCTCTATTAAAGGCATAAATAGTATATTTAACATACCAATGCCAATTCGTGTATAAATCAAAAACCGTTCCACTGTAGACACTCTATAGATTCCCACAGTTCATGTACAACTTCACTCACGTTTGCCTGTATTGCGGGATCGGCCACGGACAAATTAGAGAACTGCTTTAGTATCTTTATTGGCGCTAATGCCGCGGCCTTGTCAGCTGCATAAACTGTTGACCTCGCTGGCCACTGCTGCTGCGGCTGACAGTGTAGACTGTAGAGCATGACGCGGGGGAGTTACAGAGTTACAGCTGACAGTAACGAGAAAAATATTACATGTGCAGCTGAAGGCGATGAATTGGCGAAACGGAATTATTAAATTTGAATTAGAAAAATTTATGTTTTTATACTATGGTACATTGAAATTAGATTCTCACTGAAATATCAGAAGAATTTCCTACCTGCGCTCGAGTGTGTAGGAATACGTGATACATATTTCTATCTCCAGGGTCATGAATGGCAAAATAAACAAGGGCTACGTTCCTGACAGTGCCGAGACAACCTCTACGGAAACTGATTGGACCAGAGACCGACGTAACGGGGGTACGGTACAGACACCTCCTGACAAGTCACCTCCCCACCACCAGACGAAACTTCGAGAGGGACCATCTCCTCAGAACAGCGAGAGCCATGATCCTCACAACGAGTTTTCGCCCCGCCACCGGACGAATCTTCGAAAGGAGCCCTCTCCTCCCAGTACCGAGGATCCTCATAGAGAGCCTTCACAGAGTAACACAGACGATCCTCACGAAGAGGCAATTTCACCAATCGAGGAAAACGTCCACGATGAGTCTTCCCAACGTGAAGGTGTTAAACTCATCCCATCAGAAAACTCAGAACCTACGAGCATTGCTTTCAGTTTTCGGAGCGCTAGTACGATGGAAAGAAGAAAACGATTCACCAAAGTTCCAATAAAAAGTGCAGTTTATTCTGCGAAGAATCTAGAGGGTAAGGAAGAATGCAATTCAAGAAAACGTTTGAGCAGTCGAAGAAGAGAGACAAGAGGAGAGGGTACTGAAGGCAGTCAAGAAGCTGTTCATAAGTCAGATGATGTAAATAAACAAATAGACAATCATGCAGTAGAAAATAACGAAGGAAGTAAAATAGTAGTTGGTTCTGGTGGCTTTTCCAGAACTGCGAAGTCCTTGAGTACTTCTAGCACTCCATCCGAAAAGTCCCAAGCATCCCTGAGACAAAGCAATGAGGCTTCCTCTTTGGAATCAGATCTTGAGCCGGACGATTCCAAACCGGTTTTCACGATCGACAGAGTAATTTCCTACGGTCAGAATTTCGTTAAACCTTACTTAGCTCCCGGACGCAATGTAAAGAAAGACTCAACTTTCAGCAGTAAAAAAAGCAACAGAAGAAAAGGGGAGTTCGGACGCCCGAAGTCGAGTTGCAGCGTCGTGAGAGAGAACACGTTGCGGGGACCTACGTATCACTACAGAGCCATTGAAACATATTTCGACTGTGAATTTTATATTTACGGACACAAATATCAAAGTGAGCTTTTTAATATCATGAGAACAACTTTCTGATGCAACGATAGCACTGTCTGAACCTTCTCTAGATAATGGTTGATAATTCTGTCCACCTTATTTCTGTAGATCTTGAAAAAATCTCGTATTAAGGCATACTTTACTAATTTGGCAACAATCAATACTCGTATTTCAGAGGCTGAAAATGAGATGCTGGCGCCTGGAGTTTACCAATTTCCTTTTGCCTTCAACCTACCGCCCAACTTGCCTCCCAGTTTCGCCAGCGAAAAAGGAGTCATACGGTACGTCGTGGCAGCCATCTTAGACCGACCTGCAGCAGCCAATTTAGTCAGAAGGAAGGCGTTCAATATATTATCAATACTCGACCTCAACATGGACTCTCATGCATCTGTGAGTATAGTGCATCTTGAACGAAAAATCCTATCACCAAATTTCTAAATTTGTGTTGTGGTGTGATGTAACAAATGAGTGATTTGTTGTAGAGTGATGTAACGAAAGCGCATTTTTAGCATTATATTTTCTAGTTGCTCATTGATATTATCAAGATTTTTCACTGTAGCTGCGTAAAAAACTTCTTCGCTCAAACAGAACTCAGCAAAACCCTAAGTCGCAGCAAAATTGTAAATCCATGTTTTTACGCGACTCTGTATACATCAAATGCTTTCAATTATCCTCGTCTTGCAGAGTAGCATAAGTCGCAGCAAAATCGTAAATCCCTGTGGGTTGTTTTGCCACTCCGGACCCATAACGTTATCAGTGCGTATCCCCAAAAGTGGTTACGTGTCAGGCGAGAAGATCCTGGTCAGTGCCGAGGCCGACAACATATCGGGTCGCAGCACCAAACGCACCAGGCTCATGCTACTGCAGGTCAGGTCTAAATTTTAGACGTGTCGGCATTGAAGAAATAGGCCCATGGCCGGTTGCCGATTCTTGACTTTTTCGTGACTTGATTTACAAGGGATCCGGCCTTTGGAACCCGATCTTTCCATAACTGACGATTGATAGAGAAAGCTGCTGGACTTATTGCCTGGTCCTTAGGTGCTTGGCATTTTAAGACTGAACATTGGCTATGCTCCTGCATAGCTTCGCCTAGTCCAGGTTCTTGAAGGCGTTCGGTTATTTATACGCTAAAAAGAGCATTGAGCATTCTATATCAATATAACGAGAACTAAAGTTAAAGGTCTCCAATTTTGTTACTTCTTTAATCAAGCATGAATCGGACAACTGATCGCACCATGAAAATCATTCCGGATTTTCATACTGCTGATTGGTTGATAACTTAGGACAGAAGTTAGAACTGAGTACTGACAATAAAATTTTATCTTCACAAGCGAAGTGTACCTATTAGCTTAATCTTGCTGCTTTTCATGTGAAAAATTTCATGCTTTCTTACATGAAATCTTGAGATCCAGTCGTTGATCTCCCACAGAAAATATACCTCTGTTGAAGATTTGAGTCTGTGACAATTTTGCCTATAGACTTTCAGCATGACTGTTCATACCATAGTTTACCATCAAAAAATATTTTTTTGAGATTCTTACAGAAAACTATTTCTTTTACAGACTTTCGAAAAACCAGCACGCATATCCTGTGCAGTACCGAGAGATATTAAGACTATAGCAAATAAATTCTTGCTAAGATATTAATTGTGTAATATACACCCAATCGTGCAATTAATTTAAGTCCTGCATGCTTGGAACCATCCCAAAATACATAGTATTATTTAAACAGCTGTGGGCGCAACTACTGACAGTCAGCGCAACTGCGCAAGTGCGCAACTGCTCAAGACTGGCCCAATTAAAAAAATATTGCGAAGTTGTACTGACCAATAAATCAAATTATTTATCGCAAACAAACTTCAACATCGGGAACTGCATATTATTATTCTGATCAAGACAAAAATAATTTCTTTGTGTGAATAGTTTTCAAAATAAATGGCCTTCATCACATTAATGATCACCATTTACGTCGCAGGTTATCACGTACATCATGCCTAACAAGATCAAGACTCACGTTGAACGACGCATCGTTAAGGAGATCGTTAGGGGAATGATACCCCCGGGGGAGAGCGATATCTGGGAAAAGGTTGCCCTTCACGTGCCTCCTCTCGCACCCGCCAACCTCCACATCAGTGGACGGCTCATGAGAGTGGACTACTGCGTTGAGGTTCGAGAGTAGAAGGCGAATTATATCGTAACTCTAGATTTTGTAAAAGGTTTGTAACAACATCTATTCAGGAGCTGCAGTTTTTAACAGAAAATGTTGGTAATTTATGCGTGATTTAGGTTGAGTAACCTAGTCAAGATACAGTGGTTCCCATTTCCCAATGTAGGAGGTACCGCCCCATGGGGGCAGTGGAAAAATCTGGGGGAGGGGGGCGGCGGTAATTTCAAATTGCAGCATACCAAATATCAAGAAAGATATGTTTGTTTCCATATGTGTCTGTGTGGGGGGCACTACGCATCCAATGGGGAGCCAAAGTGGCGCCATCCTGCAAAAGTTTGGGAACCACTGGACCCAAGAACAACCGCGAAGTCAACGCTCGGGTACAGCAAATTTGGAAAATATCTCTAGTTCAGATTTCAGACTAAAAGACTAGCTAAAATATTTCAATGGACGTTTCAGAACGGAGTAACTGTCATGATTCGGTATCTGTCTGCCAAGAGCCAGCCAGCGTCAAGCAGGTTCTTCCAGCAGGCCCATATTGCGGCCATATTTAATGGATCTCATTCTTAAACTAAAGTATTGTTAGGTCAATAACTGTGAAGTGAATTACAGGGCCTAAAGAAGTCGAGATTTTACTGCCGGGCTGTAACGCAGGTGGTATACACTCACTAAACAGAATTACTTATTTTGAAACCTCCAAGACGTGCAGATGACTTATACGAGGGCTGAGAAATACGCACGGGACAGAGATTTTATATTAGAATCGTAGTGCATCACGTAGTACATCATAAGGGAACCAGAAAATCAAAAACGTTTGAGTATCGTTTCGCAATTTCAAACTTCCAAACTCTTAGATTATGCGTAGAGACGTGTGACAGCGAAGCAAGTCTGATGTCAGAGTAAAATCGAGTAATAATTACTAAACTTATTAAAATCATGGAGAATTTCCATATCACTTAATCTTCTCGTTCGGTCAAGTGACACACATGTAGAATATTGTCATTTTTCAAACTTTCTTCTACCAAATATTTTGATTCCACACACAAATTAGTTCCTTGATAGAGAATTAAAATGAGATAAAAAACGTCTTGCCAAAATATTAATCGTTGAATAATCACCTCCCAGATGGTGCTGGAGCTGCACCAACCCTGGAAGCCACTGAGGGTGAGCTTGCCAATCAAGCTGGGGTCTGTGCCGCTCACGGCGAACTTCGCAGACTTCTTACCTCCGCCACCGGCCGCTAAGCAGCCTTCGCTTCCTAAGATAACCTACAAAAACTTACGTGGGCGAATTATTTGTGTTAATCATTCGTAAAAAAATATCCTGGGTGTTCGATCATCTATACTCTATAGTACAACAACCAAAGTAAACGATCACTACTTGTTAGCCAGCATTATATATATTGCATTAACCAAAATCGTGTCTTTAACACGAGAACACGTTGTTGTCTCTTGTCTGATCCTTTAGTTTATATCATAACACTGGCTGTTCACATTGTAAATCTGTGCTGGCATCATAACACTGGCTGTTCAATTTGTAACTCTGTGCCAACATCATAACACTGACTTTTAGTGTTATAATTTGCTGTTCTAACCCGCAGTACTGTTAACATTTGCTGTTCTACCCGCAGCTTTGTTCTCGTACGCGGAGTGCTTCTTCGGGCGCGAGTCTTTGGAGGGTCAATACGAGCGCCTGACCGGCGAAGTCGAAGACCTCGGCCCCCAGTTCGAGTCTGTGCATCCATTCGCTCCGTCATTTGTGACGTATAAATTTGGATCCATGGCCAACTCCAACACCAAATCTGAAGAACATTATGAACTAAGACCCAACGAACGAGTTTCAGGAAACGGATTGAGAAGCATGGGTTCGAAAGAATCCCAAGCTTCTAATGACAGCGAGATGTCCGTCCAGCTAGACTCGAAAAAAGAAATGGAGATGAGCGCCATCATGATGATGAATTCTCAGAGCATGAAAAGCAGGACTGAGTGGCTCAATAACCGACAGGCTGGGGGGATGGAAAACAAGACCCACAATCTCAATCACGGGAAAACTCACGATCCGTTGGACAATGCGACACGTGAAGAAGAACCAGCCATCCTGGACGACTATGATTTCGATAAAGATGAATCACGTGATGAAGAGTCTGATCCAAGCTCCACAATGCCTAAACAACGCTGGAATATAGTTACTTCTACTAAATTCGCGGCAATGAAAATCATTAGCAATGGTAAATTTGATTCCCCACAAGACTTCATCACCGATGATGCCAGCCTTGCAACGCCGTGATCGAGTGTCACCATGCTGAGACGTCAACTTAATTAGAGCTGGAATACGGACAAGCATTTATGTATGGTCTCTTATAGACGAACTTGTATTGCTCTTCAATTGCAAGATTTCTCAAGTAATTGACATTCTAAATGTTTCTTGATAACTGCTTAAAGAATTTATCTTTGTACGGAAGAATTTTTCATCGATCTTGTATAGACTGCATCGAATTAAGAAGATAAATACGTTTATTTCCTTCTCTAAATATCGATTAATTTAGAGCAAGCTGTTTATACTATACAAAAATTTGAAGTTATGAAAAAATAAGAGTTGTAGTTTTAAGTTTTATCGTGATTTCCATTAAAAAAACGATGTGCACATGAGGTGGAAATTAACATTTGTCAGAATTCGCTTAATTTGATGCCTCTGTGAGCGTCCTGAGAGCATTGCTATCGCCAGGGTTTTTAATTCATAATCGATTTCAGTCTAATACAAAATGGTCGAACTTTCTTTGAGAATTTGGGTCAATTGGTGTGTATGATAAACATACCTATCATAAGTGCAAATGTTCCTACAAAGTTAGCCCGGAAATGAGACAACTGCCATCTTCCTCCGCGCCTGTACTTTTTAGCGCGCGTGTACAGACTGGATTCGGCAGATTTAAGATCTCTTAGTAAGGAACAATAAGGCTACCGTACACGGGGCAAGTTTTAACCGCTAGTAGACCTGGGCCCATACTTTCAAAAAATGTTAAGAGATCGTAAGTCCAGCAGCCAATCATTGACAGCCACGCAAGCAAAATCCACCAATCATAGACAAGAAAATAGAGCGTAAGTATACTTACGTTCACTTGGCGAGTTTTGAAAGTATGGCCCCTGGCTAGCATTGGCCGGGAATAATTCCCGCGTTAATTGCCTTGTGTAGAATCTTGCTCGCTGCGCAGGGGCGCGTATCTCGAGTGACTGCGTCTAAAAAATATTTTTTTTTGAGGCCGGTGAGCGAGAATGTTTGTTAGGTGACCAACTATGAACGGTTGGTCACGTGAACGGCCAAGCATGAAGATAGCTAAGATTCATGTTATAAAGTAACAGTTCACTTGTTCCTAATTTTGTGCACAATTTAATACCACACCAGATCTGGTGTGGTATTAAATCATTATTCATTATTTATTTCATTATTTGAATTATTATTTATTTCATTATTTGAAATAAATTTCAATTAAACAGTGTGCATTGTACACTGCACATTGTAAACTGTACAGGCTCCTTTTGATAGGGACCCGCGCTACCGAATTTAGTCGCGTTCGATCGCGCGCTCCGGACTACAATCGGGACGACAAAAATATCAGTTCTATTACTTTCTGGATAAACTCTGTAGGTGAGAAGTCCCCCTATGATTATTCATAGAGGGGTAAAAAATGTCATACTATAGCAATAAATTGAAATTTTCCAACAGTGCCTTAAATAGTTGAAGCAGTGTAAATATTTTTTTTACATTTCACCTTCATTGCTTGTCTACACGTCGCGATCATGCACGGTGAGCGGATTTTGTACACTCGTTATCGTCTCTATGAGAGTATTAGTATCAATAATTTAATATAATTCAAAAGTTAAAGTTGTCACAATCCATACAATTGCAAAAGTTGATCAGATTTAAATTTCGCTTGAAAAAATAAAAACTAATAAATTTTAATATAAAGAAATTGTTTTGGATTTAGTGTTTTATAATATAATAAGCCAATAGCCTCGAACGATTAGTTATTGGAGGAGGGAAATTCTTCAGATTGCCTGCGTGATGTGTGGAATTTTTTTTTAATTCCTGATAGTAACGTTTGACAATTGATAGCTATATCCTCTTGCATGAAATCTGGAATGCGTTTACGAAATAATGTTCTAATTTCATTGCATGTTTGTCTACATTTTGTTTCTTGTTTTAAACCCCGAATAATGCGTAATTTCATTAAGGCCTATCAATATTGTTGAATCAATGTCTCAGAGTAGGAGCTGCCTTAAATATAACATGACAGGGCCTACTTTGAAAATGCCTGTACTTAAATGAAAAACATTTGAACATATAAAATGAATTAATAAAAGAGACAACCTTTGAAGGATTCATTATTGGTAACTAGTAAACCATTTATCACGTAAATGTTTTTTATGTTAATTCTTCATACACTGAGAGGTCAACGTGAATTTAATTTGCAAGAGAGCTGAATTGTGTGAACAATTGCGACAGTTTGTTGTACGAGTGTCAGAAAAAGTAGTATATAAACAAGAAATTGAGAGGACAACAGCATGCAGAAAGTACAATAGTATAATTTGCACATGTTTTCATCTCTCGAGACCTATACCAAAAACTGCAGCAGGTGGTCATGATTCTTTGCTCCGATCAGCCGGTTAAGAGTCAAGACCCCACAACATTACATTACATTCCATAACTATCATCTTTAAATGATGCATTTACTACCCGCTGAAAATTAAGAATTGTCACGAGCACGGGCCTCGTGCCATGGAAATATAAAGATCAGAAGAAAACGTATTCGAAAATAATGGATGGCCGATCATACGCATTCAAAGTACAATAACTATAATGACCGTAAAGCTTTAATTTGGATGAATTCACCTTTGGCCATACTATCAAAAATAGTTAGGAATTTGTAGTTCCGTCAGGTAATCGTTGACGGCTTTTCAAGCTAAGCTCACCAATCACAGACGAGATATAGGCTGCTACGTGTACTTAGGACGCTCCATGTAATACGTATACTTAGATGATATAAAAAAAAGTTACAAGTTCTCCACTCCGACAGCCAATCACTGATGGCATTTCAAGCTAAGCTCACCAATCACAGACGATAGATCGACTGCTAAGTGTGCTTGGGCTACTACGTGTTCTTAGGCTGCTACGTCCGCTATACGTGTACTTCGGCCACTACATTTACTTAGGCCGCTACATGTAGTTAGGCCGTTACATGTACTCAGTCAAGTTTTGCGAGTACGGCCCCAGTTACGTTTTTATCGACGTACTCGGGGTCATTAGAGACAGAGGCTGCTAGCACCTGACCTTAACATGTAGTCCAGTGAGCGGACACTTTCTTCACATTCTGCAGCTTCAGTTAAATATTTAACAAGGCCAGGGCAAAACTGAACATTCTAAGCCATTACAAAAATGCGCTAAATTTGCAAAATTTCTGCAAATTATTCAGTAAGCGTTTAACGATTATAACTAGTATCCATATTTTTAGTTATTCAAGCATCGTTTTCTAAAATAATTTTATATGTTTTTGAAATAAAAATTATTATTTCAGCTGCGCAAGTTCTTCAAATTTGCGTGTGAGACTTATATTTAAAATTGGAAACTTGAAGAAAAGGACACTCTCTGTAATTCATTCTATGTCACTTTCTGAGACACTTTTTTTTCATTCGTATGACGTTTCAAGTGAATCATTCATTATCAATTACAATCTGCTTAACTATAGGATATTTATACCAATAAATCACTAGCCATGCACGTCTGATTATTTATATACCAGGAATTTAAAAGTAAAGAAAATAGCCAAAAAGTTCACCATTTCTTATAATCGAAAACGTTTCGGAGTCCAGCTCCATCGTCAGTTCAAAACCTAGAACACAGGTATAAACAATTAGTAGCCTAAAATTCATATTCAAACAATTCACCTAAACTTGAGGACATTAGAACTAAAATTGAAGCTAACAGAAATAAAAATGAGATAACATGTAGAGAGGGTACTATCTATTTACAATTTCTAGAGGATAGGAACTGAATGCAGCATTTAAACTGGGTTTCTGTTTGAAAATATATAAAGATACTAAAATTCGTAGGTCAGAAACACCGGTTGTGGAGGCTAAAACTCTAAAGTCACTATTGGACACCGGGACGTTGCACCTGTCTCTTATACACATCTAGATGTGTATAAGAGACAGNTACATTTCTAGATGTGTATAAGAGACAGGGCCACGGCTATAAGCTAAAAAAAGTGCGCTGCAACTTCTCCACGCGACAAAATTTCTTCTCGCTTCGAATCACCGACATGTGGAACAGCCTCCCCGATGACATCGTTGGCGCTCCGAGTATGAACGCGTTCAAGAACAGACTAGATAGAGCTATGGAAAAATATATGTTCAGACTTGAATTGCCTAGCACCATATCAAACCCGGTGGAAGTCTAGTAGCTATTTCAAACAATCGTCAGTCTTGAAAAAATCAGGTCAAAGGACACGATTTTAGATCTTCTGTAAACAAGTCACGAAAAGTACAAGAATCGGTAACAGGTCTACTCAGGCCTACTATTCGGCGCCGACATCACTATGTTATGTTATGTTATGATACGGTAGCGAGAACGAATGAATACTGAGTTACAAAATCGGAGTAATCGAAAGCGCAATTTGTTCATCGCGATGAAGTAATTGAATTGAAATCAAATTATCATATTAAGATAAAGATAATAATACATTAAAGACAGTAAAGTAGAAAATTTGAAACTTAAAACTCAGTCAACTTATCTACCTCAATTTCCAATCATCACAAGTCTTCAAGTTCATCTCAAAATCATTGATGATCAAAAATCCTACGCTGTGCATACGACATCATGCGTGACACTTCAAACTCTTGAGAAATTCAATCGTCTATAGAGAGGAGAAATGTGAGTACAGCGTCCTATAATACATAGTTACATTTAACTATCTTCTCACACTCGGAGCTAGTAGCAGAGAAAAATCTTGAACCTTGGACTGAAGTTTCGCCTTATATCCAAATTTAGCAAGACCATGAAACAAATTGCATTTGAATGCTGAGAGATAAAAATGGCAATAGTATCGATATCAACACTCGTTTGAAAGATCAAATACGAACTGAAGCACTAAACAACTAGGCTCGTCGACGCTGATAATTCTTAAATATATATAGTTTTAGCAATGTGAAAAGTACTTCATAACATTCACGAAATACGAGGATATGCCGTTATTGTGATAGGTTATTTCTTAATACCGCAATTTGCATACTTGGAAAATTCGTGCCTTATCCTCAAAAGTCTTTCTAGAGTTTTGAACACACACTAAAAAAATGTTAACAACGCACATGGACAAGCAAAAAGTATAGATCGAGGATTCCAAAAGTGGTGTATATGTGGGATGCATGTAAGCCATGTTCGTGGACAGCATCATTCAATACCACTACACAAATATATACCTTCCACAGCGCCAGCATGCCACAGGACAGAGCAGTCTACGAAGTTATGTTTAGACCTATGACGCCCTAAGTCCGCTGCCACTGCTCAAATCGTACAGGGTTCATGGATTTGCAACCCCAAAATGGCCCTACCTACACATAACTATATAACGTAGTTCTACGATCGTACGTCTGGAGTACGACAGGATTCCGAGAACAACAAATTTGAAGAATTTTTTATATAATAATATAAATTTTGCGAATATGGGTTTAAATAAGAACACTACATAATTAGTAGTGTGAGCGAGAAAAACTCGGATGGGGAAAAAAACTCCAAAATAGCGTTTGGGTCTTGTGAACAAATCTCGCCAAATTTGTGTCTTCATTGAACCAAATTTATTATTCCATAAAAAACGAGTATCCATAAGAAAGTGATTGACGAGAAAGTGAAGCTTTATAAAGTTTCGTTTCATAGAAATTTTTGAATCCTACACATGATTTCACACAGAGGTGAACAGTAAACACCTACCAGCGTATGTTGTTACTACTCCAGTCGCGCGGCGTGCCGTTGAATCGCTTGAAATGCCGCTGTTACCGCACGCGAGCACCGAGCAGTCCGAGCTGCGAGCCGAGCAGTGTCTCCCAAGGTGTGTTCGAGTGAGGTTGTGTACGTTGCTGGATTTTACCGCTCACCATTACTAGTGCTCCACTCTTTTGCACTTATGTATTCATTGTCTTAGGATAATTTATTATATGATAGTTATTTTATACTTCACAGTACAGTGATCTTATAAAGTAGGTAACAAGTGCCTTCAAACAGTGGTGATTTTAACAAGCCGGAGAGGTTACGTAGCATCCTTGGCAGGTAAGTCTGGACTTCATGTTTATTGGTAGTCAGTTCACTGCCTTCCTTATCTAGAGGAAACACTACAACTTTTGGTTATTACTTGGAAAGAATCAGATCCATGGCTATGTGATGAATAACTCGAAGGTAGCAGATGTATTGCTGGTATTTCGTTACCCATTTCTCTTCGTATTGATAATAAATTTGCTACGCTGAACTGCAGAAGTATGTAGGCTACCGCTACGTCTGCAGTAGGCCAGTAGCCACTAAAAGTTACGCATGATTTATGACAAAACTGTAGTTTTTAGTTTATTCTAAAGATGTAGTGTGCTTAGAAGATTCGTAGTGACTATTATCTTCATTCCATCCAGACAGGATCTATTGAAATCGGAATAGTAGTTTACGAATCCTATTATCCGTGTCGTCACGTAGCAAGGAATTCTGCGATTTGCAAATAAATTCAATATTTTACGTGTTAATTTTGAAGCTGTTTTACGTCCGCTTCTTGGAAGCTAACGTGCATTTTATTGACGAATAAGTTCTTAAGTGTGATTACAATTTTTTATTGGTGCCTCGTAACTTAGCCTTGCTGGCTGTTTACCAATAGCGTGTCATCAGCTATTTCGTAGGACCAAGATGAGACGTGCCTTGAATTTCTATCCTCTACAGTCTACTCTCTAGAATTGGACCGTCTACGTTACTGCCTGTGCCAGTTATTCAGGCAAATTTTCAATTTATCAACTGCTTGATGTCCATTCGATATCTGATAATCTGATACCCCCTTCCTAATAGCTTAAGTATATATTTGTGTGCCTGTCTAATTTTCGCCTATGCGTATAACCAGTATTGAAGGAACGGTAATTTTATCGAAATTCAGGTAAATATTTCCGTGGTGTTAGTCCATAGAATCCTTAATAAACCTATTAAACTAAAGAATTGATATTGTAGCTTCGGTCTGCCAGATATTTAAAAGCATATTCTCTGTTATGTTAACGCTAATTGTAATGAGACTTGTACTGGCAATGACAACTGGCTATTCAGGATTTCGACACGCCCATGGTCGCCGTTATACATTAGTCGCCGCTGGAGCTTTTGATAGCGCTGGCGTAATTCTCCGCATCCGCAGTCGTGAGGCACATCAGTAGCAGATATTTGTAGTTACTCCTGCTTCATTTACGTCCATTGAATTATCATAACAAGCTCATACTGTGCGGAAATGTCTCGTGTTTCCTTTGTTGTGATGTGGCTGGCTGCTCTCACTTATTTTGCATGCACGAAATATATTTAGGTGATCTTAAGTGCTTAAACTAAAGAAATTTATAAAAAAAATATTTGGTTAGAACTTAGACCGAGCACTTATAGGGCTTAAGGTCAAAATGGTCCTAATTATTATGACTTTTTTTTATTTCCTATAGGATTAAAATTAACAGCATGAAAGTCACAAATTCCTTCACTGGATAATTTGATATTAACTAATAGAAATTGGACAAGATATATCTTTGAGCGCTGATAGAAGACCTGATTAGTGCGATGCCTTTGCGTCGCATATAATTTGTGTTTAGTTTTTAGATTGACAGAGCGAGCATTAATGGAAACGGTCGAAACAGAGATAGGTAATAAGTGAATAAAAGGATGAAAGTGAGTGGAAATAAGAGGAAGCTAATGAAAGAGTTCGATGAGGGTTAAATGAAATTTAGACAAAGCACATACAATTGTAAGATTCAGAAACATTCGAAAGATAATTCGTTCGTTAAATGAAATGACTAAAACATGATATAATGGTTCGACGAGGAATTAAAGGGTAAAAATTAAATAAAAGAAGAGGAAGGTTAAAAATAAATAAAAAAGGCCAAGGTACGAGGAATTAAAGGGTAAAAATTGAATAAAAGAAGAGGAGGGTTAAAAATAAATAAATGAAGGCCAAGCGACGAGGAATGAAAGGATAAAAATTAAATAACAGAAGGGGAAGGTTAAAAATAATAAATGAAGGCATAGCTTAAAAATAAAATGCGTGAGGGAAGGGACCGGCAGTTATTGAGGAAGCCCCTCATGTGCTGGTGGGGAGGGCACGGAAATGCCTCTGATGTGACGCTAGTGAGGGTAACGCAAGGGAGGGTAACGCAAGGGAGGGTAACGCAAGGGAGGGTAACGCAAGGGAGGGTAATGCAAGGGAGGGTAACGCAAGGTAATGTAACGACGCCATGCCAGCGGCGCTGTGGCTCTAAGTGGTTCTAAGCCAGTGGTTCTAAGCCGCCATGCCAGTGGTTCTAAGCCGCCATGCCAGTGGTTCTAAGCCGCCATGCCAGTGGTTCTAAGCCGCCATGCCAGTGGTTCTAAGCAGCCATGCCAGTGGTTCTAAGCCGCTATGCCAGTGGTTCTAAGCCGGCTGTCGATCTGTTGCCCGTGACCCTTTGAATCGCTCATCGTATTTTTAGCTCACTAGGCCTACAGCTACGGTGGCCTACAGCTACGGTGGCCTACAGCTGGCGTCAGCTTTGCTACGATAACCTGCTATAAGCCTACTCGCACTATCATAGTAATCTTGCTAGGCATATATATCTCCATACATGCTATGCATTATGATGATTCACACTTGCTTTCTCTTCTGATGCTCTAAACTTGCCATGCCTATAGATGCTCTACACATGTTATGCCTATTCCAGTGCGTTCAAGAATGGGAATTTTCCTTAAAATAGTCTTCCTCCAATTGCAAGGAGGGCATCACCGGAAAGCTTACGCCCTGATAATTACTTAGGCATTACACGGGTGAATATGAACACCTCAACATAATCACATCAATATCATCACACCAATATCATCGCATCAATATTATCACATCAATATGATCTCGCCAATATCACCACGTCAACATCATCCTATTGATACAATCACACCAATATCATTATCATCACATCAATATCATCATATCAATATCATCATATCAATATCATCATATCAATATCATCATATCAATATCATCGTATCAATATCATCATATCAATATCATCATATCAATATCATCATATCAATATCATCATATCAATATCATCGTATCAATATCATCATATCAATATCAACACATCAATATCATCACATCAATATCAACATATCAATATCATCGGATCAATATCATAATATCAATATCAACACATCAATATCACATTTCAATTTATACGCACTCACGTTACCACTGTATAAAGTGCGTTTCAAGTTCGTGCAAGTGCATGGCATACGAAGTCACATGACGCAGGTACGAAGCACATACAATGCACGTCACGCACGATCTGTACGAGATGGAATAGCGCCTCAACACCTGTCCAAACAGTTTCTATAGGTCAATGTGGGAGAATACTTCATAAAGTAATAACGTGGAAGGACATATTGGGTAAAAAAACGAGACACCTAGAGATTATGATATGTTCTCGAAAACAAAAAAATCAGCTAATGGCGTAAAACGATCAGAAATTACTATCAATGAAATTTAATTTACTTAAGAATTCTAAGCCGCGTGCGCCCAGTCACAAAACCGGTGGCAAGAATAAAGGCTATTATTACAAAGCGCGAAGCACCGTTAGGAGACGAGGATCCCAATTACCTTGATTACAAGATGGTTAAGCCTGGGAAAGATGGACCAAACGGTCGGCCGAACGACTACGCCAGCCGCAACGAAGGGAGAAGAATTCTGATGATAGAAACTTCCGATACGTCCAGCGCTAAACAACGAAATACTATGAATAAAGTTTACAATAAAATATTCGGTAGGCCGAAACCACGATCTTCATTTCCGGGTAAATTGAGATGATTTTTAAAATATATTATCAATAATTTCATAACAAAGTTTATTAAATGGCTAGACGCCGACCATATAAAGTCATTTGTTCATAACGACGATGATATGCTGAAGACGATGAAACCGTGATCGGTGCCATTCAAGTATATATATTTATATAGTTCGAATCAATCAACTTCATTTCTAAAAACGAATAAAATTTCTATTAACCATTCAACTAGATTACTAGAACAACAAGGGCACTTGCTTCAAACCATAGTCCATTCAATTTAACGGTGATCATTGGCGCTTCCGCGGAACCCTTTCTAGGGCGCCTTCCGTCGCTTCACAAAATTACAGAATTGAACAAAAAACTCGTCGGTTCCGTACCAGCGGAAATGAAGGGAATGCAGCAACGACTCGCGACTGCGCACATTCCTGCCGGGGCTCATATAACACCTCCGGCAGCGACGAAGAAAAGCGGTTTATTTATACCTACATGTACGGTAAATATATATATTTTTTCTGTGGGAGGGGGGAAAGCGGTGCATTGTAGGGGGATGGTAGGAATGGGTATATACGAAAGGAGGGGGGGGGGCGATAATTGGCAAATCAAAGCAAATAATCGGTGAGAATTGACGATGAAAGTATCGTAGAATAATGATCTGGCGGAAACGATGGAAGGAAAACACCGTAAATCCTCAATAAATATTCTATCAAAATTTAGAGACACATACTCTACACACATCTTCTGAAAAGACAAATGAATTAACACATTAAAAATAATCGAAAAAAGAATCTGTAAGACGAGAATAGAAGAATGTTGAACGATATAATATGTGTAGAGCATTAACAAACATAGCAGTGTAGAGCAAGAGCAAGTGTAAAGCACTAGCAGGCATAGCATATGTTTATAACACGAGCATTAAAGGCTCGGGCACTGGTGTAATGCGCAAGAAAGAATTACGCGTGTTGATGCGTAATTCCGACTAGGTGGTAATGCGCGTGTTCATTCGTAATACCGACTATAGGTGGTAATGCGCGTATTGATGCGCAAGTCCGACTATAGGTGGCAATGTGCGTGTTGATGCGTAATCCTGTTTTGGTGGAAATGCGCACGCACATCATGGACAGCGAGAGTGCGTGTTGACACGTAAAGCGGTGCACCAGTTTGTGGCGTAGTGAAGCCGTGAACCGGTTTTGCGATCCTCCTTTTTTTATTGTTTTTGTCAGTTTGTCCACATTTGAGACT